GAATAATAGGCAATTTCAATAAAATAGAAATGCTTATTTAAAATTCGTCTTTCAGGAATAGTTTATTTACGAATTCAGAAATAATTCAAAAATCAAAATCATTTAATTCTACCGAAAGAGAATTTATTTGCTTGAAATAAAACTTTTATATAATGTAAAACGAGTTATTCCAGACAAACACATGGTCTATTGGAAATTTCATGAAACTTTCAAAAAATTCACTTTCTCCTGTAACTCATTGTTAATTTGTAATAAAGTTCTGAGTTTTTATTTAAAATCAATGTCAGGTAGAATTTAATTTTCAATAGATCGAATATTCAGGCAAGTGAATGCCCGAATTTTCAATATTTTTAATATTCTTCAGAGCTTTACGTACCGGAAAATCGTGAATTACGTGAATAATCACGAAATTGAATGGGTGGAAAATGCCTGTCACTTCGTCGCTGTGAAAATTTTTAATTTTCCACATTGTAATTTTAAGTGTAATTTTTCAAAAGCCCATGACTTTTTAATTTCCATTTATCCACTCGTTATCTTGCCCGAAACCAGCCACTTTGTCTTCTTGCTCCTCCGCAATTCTTCTTTTGATAAAAATGACGTCTTGAGAGACGTTTTACCACATCGGGCGGACGGTAATTCGATTTGTATCGCATTCCCCGTGGCAAAGAAGCTTTGTGTCTTGGGAGGGTAGTCACCCCTCCGCCACCCCCCCATTCTATTTTATCTCTCTCAACGCATCCCCAAGTCTGTTATCTATATCCGCATGATAGAGAGAGGAGGAGGGGGGAAAAGAGAAATAACGAGAGCGGAGAAGAAGTTGAAAAAACACAGGGATGGCCGTAGGATAGAGGGAGGTTGGAAATAGAAGGGGATGAAAGTGAGTGAGGGAAAGGAGAGAGGGATTGGGTGAGTGAGAAAATGCGCTGGGTTCCATTAAAGCTCTTCGTCGCTAACTCCGTTGACCTATTAAAAGCGAGACTCGTCGACGGAGGCGGCAGGTAGAGGTTTCTACAAACAGAATTGCATTCCCTCGGTGTTACCCTCCCCATCGCCCTCTCTCTCCTCATCACTCACACCCCTCAACCATCACCAATGCCCGTTTTACCCACCTACAGAGAAAACTTTCTTCTTTACTTGATGTCAGTTTCAAGAAATCAGTGAGAACCTTAATGCACTTTCTTTTCTTCATTTTCGATCCAAGTGCTATCTCAGGGGAACGAAAAAAAAAGGCCCGAGGAAAATCCAGAGGAAGAGGATGCCGCTGTAGAGAAGATGAATTATGGAGGAAAAAAAAAAATCTATGGAGTTGAATTAATTCAATTATCCATGGAAATTTCTGGGGCATGAGGTTTCTTCCACCCCTTTCAAAGAAAATGGTAATGCGTGGGAGGGGAGGGAGATTGTAAAAAAAAATACGGAGAAGTTAGAATATGTATTACTCTCGCCCTGCGAATATGGAGTAAACTTTGGAGCACTTCGCCAAGATGCAGAAGTGTAGAGTTGTATGGTTTATGGAGGTTTTAGGTAGAGTAAAGGGGAATTTTGAGATATCATGCTGGGAAATGCCGGGGTTGGGGGAAAATTGATTCAGGGTGCATTTGGGGAGTTTCAGGAATTTTCAAGATCTTTCGGAAACAATGAGGAGGAAAATCTCGGGAGAGGGTGGAAGAAAATAGACCCTGAATGATCAATATTTCTTGCCAACGTGGGGCAAATCAAATGAATAATTTTTCAAGCTATTGAACACCGAAAAAAACCGACTTTATTTCCACAGATGATGTCACATTGATATTTGAGGAGTTTGAGCTTCAAAATTCAGTATAAAAAATTCAAATGTCCCTTGAATCCCAACAAATCTTTCATAGCGTAATAAAAAGAAATAAACAATATAAATTAAATATTTTCTGTATGCAATTACGAAGGATTGAGAAAAATTGTGCAGAACAGTTACTGAATTATTTCAGAGGATTCCGTAATTGTCATGAAAGATTACGATCCCGCCACTTCCATTTTCCAAATGACTCCTGTAATCGTTAAACTACTTCCGAGTTTCGTAACCTATACATGAATATTTTTCACCGAGTATATATTTCCGGCAGCACATTGGCTGTACCCTGAATTTTCCGAGAATCAAAAAGTCATATTCCAATGGCAGTCCATTCGTAACATACAAGATTTTCCAGCTGGTTTGCGAGCCGTTGGGGGTATACTGTCACTTCGCTTGGTTTTACGAGTAAACCCTTGGATTTTACATGCCAATTCCTCACAGAGTATGTAAGGCATGCAGTGAGACGACCACACAAGCCATTGGAAAACGCATTTGCCTTATGCTTTCTACATGTGTATATTCTGGCCCTTTCAGCCAGGTCCTTCCCCCAGAACTAGTGCAATATGTATGATACGTGTTTTGAGTTGTGTCTGTGTATCGGGGGAAAAACTGGACTACGATGTATCCACTACTTTAGGTGCACGCATGTTGGCGCATGTCGCATGAATATTTCGTTAACTCCGGATGTACTCTCCTCGTTTTCCTTTTTCACTCCTTTATCTTACTCTATATCTTGCTCTTATCTCCAGTGGCACACATTACGTCACCAATATAATTCCTCTCATCCTCCTCTTTCTCTGAAAATCCTTCTCTCCTATTTACATTTATTTTTAATACTCCATTACGTCACAATATCACATTATTCAGCGCAACGAGTAACAGAGCCGTGAACATTTACGCAACCGATATTATTATAGACCTCACATCCTCATGTTTTGTAAATCGGTTTAAAGGCCTATTTGCGCAGAATACGTTTCATGTGTTCACTGTTCATTTATTTTTTATAAAGATGGCGATTGTTACTCGGGATAATTTGGAAAACTGATTTTTTAGACCGTCGCGATATTCAAGATCTTTGGTGATTGTTTTTGTTGAAACGCCGTAAGTTAAATTGTTGTCCTTTTGCAATTATGTTAAACTTACGCTATCCCTCTCGGTTTTAAAAACATTTATGGATTGAATCCCATAAATGGTGACGATAAAATAATTTTCTGAAAATTGTTAAAAATTTTATCAAATTCAAAGCATATCGTATATCACGCGGAAGAAACTAAACGAGACAACACAACAATTTGCTCTGGAAAATTTAGCCCGGGTGACGAATGTTCAATATTGTCCAATAAATTTTTTCCACGCTTCGCAAAGCAATTTATTTGAAAAATGAAATGCCTAACAATGCGAGACCGTACACAAAAAAGCTGACCATAAAATACGGATTTCAAAAGGTAATTTACAATGTTTCCAATCGAGTTAATTATGATTTCCAAATCATCAATTACGAATATCACAATTGAAGTTTTTTATTTCGTAATAAATTTCCGATTTAAAACATTAAAAATTACCTTTAGATTTTTTTTCGTGTGGACAATGAATATATTGAATTTTTTAAATTACCGTGCAAATTCACCACCTCAAGTTGAATCGCAGTTCAATACTTAATTAACTAGTGAAGTTCAAACAAATAGCTTGCGAAATTCCAAATTAGTCTAGAAATCTCCTCGACCTGGGGCTACACTACATCTCGCCATTAATCGAACCCTCGAGGAGGTCGTGACCCGTTGAAAAGAGGAAAAAGGCCTTTCGCTGGTTTAAAGACGCAACGGTAACTCCTTTCATTACCTTCCTCAGTGAAATAAAGGGGAGAAATTTTTTTTTTTAGGGATGGAGAATGTACGAGGATAAAACCTCAGAAAAGTGTGATTCCTCCCCTGGGATTAGTTCCCCACGTGACTCGCATTCATCATAGTTTAAGAGAGATAAGGGACGAGAGACACATCCCGGGGTGTGAAAGTTTACCACAAGGTTCTTATATTGTTCATGAGTTCGGATCTGCACAGATCGAGGAGATTATCATTATCGCAGGATCACGTCGTACCGTAAATCAGAGATAACGATCATCCGCGTCACATTATGTACATCAAAGAACACAATAATCAAACTTTCTTGGATTACGAGAAAATGATCGCCATCTTTCAATCATTTAATTATTTAAAATTATTTTTTCCTTTGATCCGTAACTACTGTAGTCTGTATTGTAACAGCAAATTCTAAATACTCAGATAATTTGATGACTAGTGAAACTCCACGTGAATGAAAATTCAATTGACTTTTTTTTTATAATGGTATAAATTTGAAAGCCGACATTTATCATTTGAATCCCTCCATCGAAAGGTCAAATTAGTATTAATTAATTCGAAAGGAATTCATACGGCAATTCACTATAGTAAAAGCGGCTGTATACTCTGGTCGAGATCCAACAAACGAAGTGGTCGTACAAGAATTGGACCGTCCCTGATTCCTCGAATCGTTGATTATTCATTTAATCGCGAATGCAATTATTATACGAGCGTTTAAACACTGGACGACCGCTCGACTATATCCAAAATCATGCATGTATTCATAGAGCTCATAAAATTGAGCGAGCGAAAATGTCATTGTAGCAGCTAAAATAGAGATAAATAAATGGATGGTACGACAGCTTCGTTTGTGCGCTAAATTTTAATTGGTCAATTTAATTTGATTTTTGTTCTCAAGTTGTCTGATTTAATCGATGCAAGAGGAGCTAACAATAAATGAAAAAGCAGTGGTGAAGAGTAAAGAGAACGCTGAAGGGACCTGAAGCTTATACAAATTTGTTAATTAGACTTTCGTGATCTGCTACTTAATTTCCATTTTCATTCGTCTACTCTGTGAAAATGCAGATGCTTTTCTCATCCCTTACTTCCCTTCAGCGTTCCAGTTCATGACCCTTTTTGGTTATGTAACCTCTTTACTACGGATATATATTCCCTCACTCTCTGGGGAGCAGAGGGTGCAATGTTCAAAGTAACTCCCATCCCTCTCCTTGGCCCTATTACCCGGAGATAAGTGAGAAGGAAAATAATTACCAACTCACAGACTAACGCAAACGAAATTTTCTCTCTGTCACGTTACCAACTCGTGATTAATGCAGGACTTTACGCTGGATTTCTACTTCCGGCAATTTTGGACTGATCCAAGACTGGCATTTACCAAGAGGCCCGGAGTCGAGACACTCAGCGTTGGATCTGAACTTATTAAAAATATATGGGTACCAGATACATTTTTCGTCAATGAGAAGCAGTCTTACTTTCACATTGCCACCACCAGCAACGAGTTCATACGAATACATCACTCGGGAAGCATAACACGAAGTATACGGTAAGTTCTTATTATTATTCATAATCATATTAGTACCTTTAAGCCAATCTATTCACGTGTGAATATGCAGGAAGAGAAATATTCAATAACAGTATTTAGTAAAAAATGTCGGAACAGTCACGCACTTTTTCACTGAATTTTCACTGAAGTTCAGGGAAAAAGTACGTAACTGTTCCGTCATTTTTACTGAATATTTCACTCCGTGTACCATTGTGCCCGCGTCACTTTATATATCTCTTAAATTTCAATTATATCCCAAAATACTCTTCAGCTTCCGTTTTCATAACGAGGGATGCAGTGAGCCTCTGTGACCTGACCGAATCTCTGGATAGATAATGAATTTCGTAAATTTATTTCTATAAAATATTGAAGCTAATTTAATCGTTAATAATATTGGGGATGGGATTTTACGCGGAATGGATAAAAGCTTCCAGGAGAAACATTTCCGTTGTTAATTATTCCCATCCACATCTGTAATAACATTTTTCATAAAAACATCCAACAGATCAGGTTTTTTAAAATTATTTTTATTTCATTTCATGCTAATTAATGGAATTAGCCCTGATATTTTGAAATTCGAAGGGATTAACCCACTCTCGCATGAGATAAAAAACAAATCGAATGCAAACATTTCATGAATATCGGCTCAACGGCTTTCTGCATTTCTCCAACTATATTACCAATAAATTACTATTTCATGAGAGTGACACGTAAGTTTGAAACCCTCAAAGTTTGTGCAATAAAATCATTGCAGTATCTTCAGTAACTTAGAGTAATTGAGAGTCAAATGGCAGCTATAATATTTGCCTACGAATGTCAGAGAAAATAGCCAAAGTTTTTGGATATTCTCATTCCGTAGAATGATTGCAAAAATATTTCTCACAGGATCAGTCCGGTAAAATCAATTTTTCCGCTTGAATTCAAATTGTACCTCTTAAATCGCATATACGCTGTATAATTCTCGACGAAAAATCGCAAAGCCAGTGGAATTGAACATGAAATTGAAGAGGGATCAGAAGCAGTCCACCTTGAATTGGTACTGAGTGTACTTAGTCCCTTTCAATCCCATTTGGCTTTTCTCGGTCCATCGCCCATGGCCCGTGGAGTTGCCCAAGAGAATTCTCGTATTAACGCTCGGACTATATTCAGAAGCCATGCATATCTAACTTATATGGTACCATCCGGAGACTCACCGACTCTATCCTAACATACATCTTCACTCCATAAATTCACCTTCTCCCATCCTCCCCCTCAACTCCACCAACTACAGCTAATGACAAGAAAAACAACAAACATTTTTTTTATATTCCCAATTATCATTAAACCACCAACAATAAACAAATGGATTTTCCAATTTACGGTTGAGTGACGGGTTTAAATTCGAGAATAAAATCTCTTGGAAGCGAAAAACAAATAATTACTTAGAGTAATTTTTCCTGCACCATTCATCCCTCAGTGAATGCGCGGATTTTGAAAAATGGAATTCTTTTATTGACTCTTTAATCACGGTTGAATGAAAAATGCCAAGTCCATGGAGTATGGCATGGATTTTTTTTCAACATTCCGATAAGACTGGAAAAGGTGAATTCACGGTAGCTATGATATTTAGCTTGTATATATAATGAAAAGAGGGAAGAGGTGAGGAAAAGATTCAGTGGAGAGGATAGAGTATCCATGATGGGGAAACATTGCACCAACGCTTTTCACTGTATGTACATTAACCCCTGGTGAAATAAACTATCGGCGATGGTTCTCTCGGTTCTCTCTTCATCCCATCACGTGTGTTAATCCCTCGCCCTAGCACGATATGGGCTCGGCACACGTTTTGTGGAACATCAGAGAGCGACGGAAGAGTGAAGGTCGGGCAGCCAGAAGCCGATAAGGTTTAACCGGCCGGATGACCTGATTGAATCGCCCGGGAGTAATTACAGAACCCCGCCAGAAATGATTGGAGGGTATAAACCATCTATTGCTCCAGCGAGCCAAGAGTTATCTCAGGTAATTTCGAATCCCTAAATTGAAAAAGAAGATCAAATACACGGAGCGCATGAAATAGTAAATAATTCCACATAATCATAAGAGATTTTCATTGAACTCTCCATAATTTGTTTTCAAACATTACTGTAATCAACCAACGAATTGTGAGTTGAGTTATTTTCACTGAATATTTACCTCCGCGAAGAATGAGTCTCTACTAGATATATACCACCTGTGCACTAATGAGCAATCAGTGTGACGTGGCAGGACTCCACCCTTACTCATAATGAAAGCGCGAAATAAATGGCACACAGAGGAAAAAAAAAAGTCTTTCTCCCTGAGAAAATTCCGCACTTCTAGGAACTCTTCATTCCAACATCAAAAAGACTAAAAATCTCGACATATTCTCACTCTCTAAAATCCTTCAGTACCTTATTCACCTATCAAGCCCCCAGAATGAAATACGCAATCTCGCGACCCGAAGAACCTCGTAATATGCATAATAATTTCATAATGACTTGAAGAAAGAAGTTGGCGGTAATATACCTTCACCCCAGGCGTGAATTCGCCCTTTTGCCCTTTTCTAGTGAGAAATACCGAGTGCCGTGGAAAAAAAGATGTTGGAGTAAAGGGGCTGGAAACCAGACGATAATTTTATATGATCGACGAGGTGATGGGGGAGGGTAAAATAAGAGAAGCCGTTGGTTGCGTGCGACCACCTCGTTATCAAACTCATACGATGCCAGTCTCATATTTTCTTTTCGTATTTTCCACCCATTTCTCCATCCACTAATTTTCCCCTCATCGGCACTGTTCCCTCTCATATGGAGTCTCCAACATCATACCAACCACCCGTCAATATTACAGGGCGTACGATTGCGTTACGATCCTTACAGCCACTGACCCAATTTCCGCTTGTTGTTTTGAGATGAGAAAATAATTATGACGAAACGAAGAGAAAATATTTGGAAGGGGGGGGACCCTTCAGTTAGCTCGGATTTATGGTCACTGTTTTGAGATACTATTGGTGATCAATAGATTAATAAAAAATTAGAGGATTACGTCCGGAAAAAATTTCTCAATGCCCTTCGCTTAGAGAATTAAATCGAATGGATACCTCAATTAATTATAATTATTAGTATTTTATCGGATATTTATTAATGAGGAGTTGAGAGAAATTAATCAGTGGTTTTTACATTGTTAGGATGAAAATTGAATTTTATTGGTGGCTAACTACCAATTTTTGAGACAGCAAATGCCATCTGGCGTTCAATTGGACATTCGCCCATTGAATTAATGGGAAATAATTTATGCGGAGCTTTTTAATCAAATTGAATTACTTACTGATATTCTTTTCTTGGGGGAAAGATAAGAAAGCTGTTTATTAACGATTTTTGTTTCTTAGGGTGAGATTACTAAAGACTTGGAATTCAAAAGCCAGTGTTTCCGGTGGGAATTAAAACCTGTTGACTCAATGTATGCATTCATATAATCTGGTCTACAATCTGGGAGTGTGCAAGTTTAAATGTATGCCTTGGAGAAAATACGTTCGAGTTACTTTGGTTCACTTCATTAGAAGTAATCATACTCATTGTTGAATAAAAAAAGATAATTCTTAAACATCAGCAATCAAATAGTTTTTTTGTTCCATCGGAAATTCTCGTCTGGATTTTCCAGTGGAAAATTCCGAATTATACGTGCTTGGGAAAATAGAGCTTATAAAAATAAGACTGGGAAAACTCAATTGAAGTACAAATAACAAAGGACATTTTCTCTCATCGAAAAATATATAAAAAATATATATAATGGGGTCAACCCTGTGTCTATTTTTCCGTATCAGTTATATCATTTGACCATTATTTTTTTAACGTAATCCTCTTCAAATTGTGTCATTCATTATATTGCCACTTGTTTTCGTATTTATCAGCGGAAGATGAGAAATTAATTAATCTTTCAAAACAACACAACTCAAAATATTAACTCAAAAAAACGCAATAAACAATATTATTACTTTAAAACATTACAGGCAGGTAAATATTACAGCTAAAAATATTTCAACAAAACATACATTATTTTGAAAAGATCACTTGAAACTTCAATATAATCATGACTGATGGATAGAAATTGGTAAATGTCAGGTCAATGTTTAATGAAATTGCGTATTTGATTCGAGAACTCTACTGATGCATTAATGTTGATTAATTATTGACATACTGTGGCATGAATTAATTTCGAGTGTAATACACCATTGATTCCATTAATTCCATCAAATCATGATCAATTTCATCGGAAAAAATTAAATTCAGAATTTTTTCATGAACCAACATGACCAGACAAGTGCAAATAAAAAAATTTGCTTGTTGTCAACTTCCTGTGTTCCCCGGGGGCTTAATGGCATTTTCTTGTAGTGAGTTAGAGAGTACGCTGAACATGATGATGAGCGGGAAAAAATGTTTAACAAAATGGAAAGTCAATACGTACATAGAGTCGGTATACACTAAATGACGATCAGGGAAATATTTACTCAGGATTGATTGACAAGTCCTTTTGTAAACCCAGTGAATCGTAACTCTTGCAGTGAAGCCAATAATAGCAATTTCTTCAAAACGAAATTTCATATTGTTGGTATTATTGTTTCTCGCTTTGTTTTTGTTCATTCGCCGTCGGCGGAAAACTTTTGTAATTTTTCAACTTCCATCTCGTTGCTCGTGGCAGTTTTCTTTATGGGTGATTATGAAATATGGTATAGGGGAGGATTTCCACCGACATGGTACACGCGCCGGATAGCCCATTGTAACGTAATCCCTGGCAATCAAGGGGTTACAGCTTTTTTTTTACAACATATGGGAGTTAATATTGCATTTTCTCGTATTTTTGGTTATTTCCAATTTTCTATCTATGGCAGTGAAGAGCCTATTGTGAGTTATTGCAGATTGAACTTCAATTCCTATTTGGTACGTTACACTTTTTCATTTTCAACCCCTCCGAGGGTGTTATCATCGTCGACGAGGTGAATATGTACGCGAAATCAATCGTTGGTTATTGAATAAAAATTTGATTCTAGAGAGGACGAGAAACCAGACATCTGGAAATTAATATTTTTACTTCATATTTTTCTTTTCAATTTCCATTTGGATTTCCAATATTCTCGACTTGAATTTAACTTTTGACTATATTCTTTATAAAATTCGCAATGAGTTTCGGAAATTCAATATAGATGTCTTTGTGTCACGTTTGCTGAATTTTCTAATAATAGTAGATCAAGCGGTTGAATCGAGTCGGTCAAAGACCAATTACCCCATTTGAACTCAATAGAATCACCGGAGACTGTTTGTTCGGCCTGAATGGCCGTTTCCTCAGTAGTCGAAGGCTATCGTTCCGTCGATTCACCGAGGTTTATCATAATTTCGGGTATAGCGTATAGTTGGGGCCTGTACCTTTGAATTAGCGGATTAGCAGCCATGGCAAACTCACCCGCCAATCGTATGACTGCAATTGCACTGGGGAATGAATTGGGCAGCATATGAAAAGGGGAATGAAACAAGCAAGCCTGGGGGCCTATTCTCGACGCATGGGAAATGTCTTTCGTGAACGTTATTTATTTAAAACTCTGTAAGTTTTACGTGTTTGGAAAAAAATATGTGACAGTCCTTAAACTATCCGAAGCAAATAATAAAATTTACTGGACGTCTCTTATTTTTTATGATTTTTTATGCAAATTACTGAAATCATTCCTCAGTACACGATTACGTGACTAGTCACGTATTTTTTCCTGTATTTTTTCCTGTATTTTTTCCCTCCGTGTAAAATTTCGTATAAACCTACATTCTCTCTACCGAAAATTTAATTCCAAAATTTCTCTCCCTCGAAATATTAAAAGTAATCCACTCCTTGGGAAACTTTCCCCAAGCGAAAATCCCATCAAATCCTATAAAATAATTGAAACCTCGGAATATCAGTCTCTTCTCCTCAGAAGAAACGAATTACGGAAAAAATACGTAATCTTTACTGAACATTTCTTTTGGTATTATGAGGGAGAAATTCCTCGGAAAAAAAATCCAAAATAACAAGACGAAGTGAAAAAAGTGAAGCGTGATATTAGCTCGTAGGGATGAGCAATTAGGCGGGAAAAGGCGAAATGAGGGACGAATTCACGTCCATCCAGTGTATTTATGCATAACCATGGTCCGAGGGTGGAGCACTTTTGGACTCGTAGGTCCAAGAGATTTAAAAAGCGCGCTGAATCTAGCTGCCTACGGGCCAGAGTGAGAAAGCGAGAGAGAAAAAATAGAGGGAGATTAAAAAAAAGAGAGGACATGACGGAAGTACATACGCTAACGGGCAAACGGTTCCATCGAGCTCTATACACGCATACACGTATGCACTTGATGCGATGAATATGTATAAATGTTCTCCACGTGTGTGAATTTTTTGTGGAAAATGTTGGTGAAAATATTATGCACGCCGAGTTGACTCGGTGAGATCCACTCGTCAGGCTTCATCGTACTCAATTATTAAAATGCATTATTAATAAGTTGATATTTCATTCCGTGCCGATTAATCTTCTATTATTTTTCTTCTAGCTTAACGATCACAGCTTCGTGTCCCATGAATCTCCAGTACTTCCCGATGGATCGACAATTGTGCCACATTGAGATCGAGAGTTGTAAGTACACGATTGAAATATCCTGGAATATTGTCAATTCAAGTGATATCTACCATAGACAATAATTAATTGAAAAAAATATTTAGCCCCGTCGACTAGCCATGTCAATCGACCATTGACATTCACCACACACAACTACATATGAAACAAAAATGACACCTCTTCGATTGAATCCTCAAATGGATTTCAATAGATATATCCAGTTGATTTCAATTGCTGTAGATTTTCCAACTCGTCGGAAAATACACACCCCCACTCACTTTTTTTTCAGGTCAACGAAGCAAACCGATTCACACTCAGTCGATTGAAAAAAAAATGCTTCGTTCTCTCTCGGAAAACCTCTATCCTCACTCTCCATTTTTCGTCACTTGGATTTTTAAACGTTATACTTACACGCCTCTGTCGTATCCTCCCTATTCTATCCACTAATTCTTCGCGCTCTGATTCACATTTCTGCATCACTCAATCACTCAGAGTTCACAGATAATCTACACACAAATATATAAATATTCAATTTTTTAAATCCAATGATATTCGAGATATCGCACCAGTGTGCAGCGAATAGCACGTGCTTTTATCACAACAATATATCTAAACTGAGAAAATAGATAATCCATTGAAATTTATTCATAATTCTTCATAAACAACCAATAAAATTACTCACAATCCAGAGTAGAAACCGACAAAAATTAATGAACAAAATACTCCAAGAATTTGATTCAATTCTTTCTCGAGGAAAACCCACAACACAAATTTTCCCAAATCCCCGAAACCCGAAGCAACAAGATCGGGTCTGACGACACACTGAAATTTCCCCTCAAGTTGGAGTGATTCCCGCTGCAAAGGAAAGAAGGCAATTTTTTACTTTAATACTCTCTCCACACGAAAAAAAAAAACCAGCAGAAATGACAACTCGTACATCTCCTACGTCCTCACCAAAAGTGGGAGGGGCTGAACTAATGAGACACTTGAACTACTTTCGGCCCTTCCTATCCTTCCCACTTGAATAATTTTTTTCTTCTCACTCTCGGCATGATATTCTCTACGATTTGCAGCGGGATATCCCTCCCCCCAGACAAGTTCGACATTGCCAGTAAAAATATTATAACTGGGGCATTTGCCGATTCCCCTCAACTCATCCACAATCTCACATACGAGATAGAGAGCATCCACGAGAAAAGACTTGGCTCCAAGTCTCAAGTGTGTTATTAAAAATTTCTTCATTCGCTAGACGGTGGAAAATTCATATCCCCGAGAGTTTTCCCCCAAGGCCTCTCGGTTTTTTCCATTTCAATCCATTCTCCACCGAAAAAGAAAAAAATAAATAAATAATTCATGAATTTCTTTGGCCTCATCTTTTCAATTTTTGGGCTATTTACGAGAGAGGGGCATCGACAATAATCCACTTATCCATCGAACACTCACAATACATTAAAACTCAACAAAATATTCATTAATTATTCGTTTAGAGGTAAATGCCAATTAGATTTGTGTAAAATTGTTATTTCTATGGTATAATGCCGACAATATACTCTAATGCAACCTCCGAAGGGTCTCCACTGTGCAGTACCAATAACGCTCCCAGTGACGTATTAATTCCTCCATTCCGCCACTCGAAATTGAATTAAAAATATCAATTATGCATCCTTTAATCTTCCCCTCAAACAGAAGTCTAGAGTAAAGAGTCAAGAGTAAAGAGTAAAAAAGTCAAGTGTAAAGAGAGAAAAAGGAAAAGGGAGAGGGAATTGACTGCGTCATTGGGATCATGCAGCCCCTTTTGTACATAGGCCGTTGAATAACGCCAATAATTTTGTTCATTAATTTAATTTACATATTTATTTTGATACTTAACGCCATAAAATAAGCTAATGGAATAAATTGAATATTTTAATGAAATTTATACAATGAAATGCAAAAGAGTTAATGCAGTACATGAGAGAATGAGAGAGCCCGAAAGGCATCCGACATACAGCACTGAGCCTCGTGTCTGGGGACGTTGGCCACTGACGACCAGCCGGCCCTGGGAGGAGCCTACGCAATATAAAAATTCATATTTACAATAATAAATAATAATGCCGACTGACAGATATCCGTGAAAGCCGAATTCTGACGCATTGTGCATCTAGCCAAAGCGCATGCGTGACTATAAAACAACTTAATTAAATAATCAGTATTATTTGGTCAATTGTTACCTAAGTTCTAACAACGTGATCTATTTTACAAGATAATCTAGATTTCATTGGTATTTATTGATATTTATTGCTATGATTTGTGATTTGTCATGGCTCCCAGTAAATCGGCATGCTGTAGTTCAAAGTCATTTATTGTTTATTTATTGTCAATAGTTTGATATTAATATTTTAATTCATTAAAACTGTTCTTTATACGGACACTCAACGAAATTCATCAAAATGCCTGCAACACTTTGATGGATTGATTAAAAAAACAATTAGTTTCTCTTCTTTATTAAAGTGTAATTCAATTACCCGAGACTCAGGGAAAACTTGGTTCAGTTAATTTGGATAGACGAATCAAGTATTTTATTGGTCATTGCAGAGGGAGAAATGAAAATGGTTTAAATTGCCTTGTGCGATATAACGTACATGGAGATAAATTCTGTGGATATAAATTCTAGTGCTGGTACAGTACAGTGGGTAGAGGGTTTCAAAGTAGAAGCCAAGGAAAAATTTCAGTACTGGTACTGGATATTTTTTTTTTGGCAATTCAGTTGCCACTGGAATGGAGAGTAACATTTTTTGAGAAATTAAAATGACGAAATTAAAAGATTCCTTGCAAATTGCGCCAACATTTTACTTGTTTGAATTTTCAAAGACTTTTACTGGACTTTTCAGTGGAAAATTTTTAACACACCACTAGAACTTTACAGAATTTTTCGCCGTGTAGAGATATAAAGAAAGAGCTGTGGTAGAGACAAGAATGTGAGGGAAGTGATCTCCCGGCTATTGGTGAATGCTTGTTTCAGGGGTATTTTGAGCCTGGAGAATTACAGGGGCTTTTCAGGGCAGCCCTGGGGAAATTTTGTATGAATTGATGCGAGTAATTTTATTTTATAAACAACCGAATCAACTCTGGTTGCATTATTCTGCATGTTTCGATGGCTTTTGCTGTGGCTTTTGTAGTTCCTAGCGTTTTTGGAATGTTGGACAGGATACATTAATTACATTCCAGAGTTCAGGAGGGGTTGAAATCATGTTATGGTATCAAGTCAAAATGCGCTGTTGTGTGGAGGTAAATTAATGCGGAATACTGAGGGCTCTTTAAATTTTGTTATAGAATACCTTGTTATCAAGATAATGTGCCGCTAAACAGAAATGCCAACCAACAGCATCTTCCTCTATCGATTCTTCATGAATTTTCCTCTCATTAGAAAGATTAATTAATAAATATGAAATTTCACATTTACAAATAATAGATAAAATAATAAAAATAAAAAGTATTAACTTCTCCATTACCTACGAAGAAAAATCATTTATTTTATCAAGTATATTTATTGACCACCAAGAAAATCCATTTGGCAAAAGAATTTTTTCCCCCCAGTGTAATCCCCGGCAGCTTGAAATATTAACAGACACAGACCCCGACACATCATCCCCTACCATTAAACCGTCGCTCTTGTCATTTAGCCAAAAGAAATAAAACTCTGAAATAAAAATCCGTCAGCCATAAGTTAGTCAACGATTCGGTTCTGACAGTTGCCTCCGAATCTCGTGGAGGTAGTAAAATGTAGTTTTCAAATCTCCCAGCTGCATTTTAAAAAAAAATCACCACTTCGATGACGACAACGGAGCAGATGCAATAACGTCAAAACATCGGGAACGAACTGAGATAGACCAAAAACCGGAGAGAAATAGTGTCGAGCCACCGTTTCAGTTACCATCGATATAGAACTTCACTACTCGAACGAGAAAATGAAAAAAAAAATTCATTTTTCCTCTCTGTGTCACAGCAAGCCCTTAATTCCATCAATTTATCGACGTACAATGGCATTTTCGAAAGAGGGGGACAAAATACAACACATTTTCCTGTCCAAACATTTGAAAATCTGTAATTAATTTATGGTAAAGTGATTATGATATTTTGCATGTGCACCATGACCCGCGGCCCCGGAGAAAGAATTGCTTTTGGAAATTGGAAATGTGCGAGGAATGATGCATTTACGATTGCCGTTCAAAGTGGTTTCGTGTGCAAACTGATCCATGCATTCTCGTTCATTCCCATTCGTTTTACTTTTTTTTTAACCGCTGTTTTTTCCAACTGTTTCTCCGGGCCGTAAGCGAGTCGTTGGGATAATTGAGTCTTCCACCCGAAGAAAATCCCTCGGAGCTATTATGTACGCTTGTTGGACTGCTGTAATCACTGGCCGCACGCCTGCACGAAACATTTCTTTCTCAGTGTCTCAAAATTCTATACATTTTTACATAAATTTTCTCCTTCTTGGATTTAATGCTCTTCGTATTTGTCGTCCTTGACCACAGATAAACCTTCAGCCAAATCCCTCTCGCTACATACGTGAATTTATCACCAATGTATTTCAACTTGAACCCCTCACGGTTGTATTTATTCCTTTGCTGTCGTATTACATATGTCAAGGAGTTATTTTGTTGTTGGTGGAAATTATGTTATTATTCCCGATTATTTCCCATTATTCTCCATTATTCTCCATTATTTTCCCTCCGACGTGGAATTCAGTTGCTGCACGATTTCGCTGTTTTCCCTGGGAATAGCATAACTGTTCGTAGCGGAGTATATCGCATTTATACCGAGGTTAAGTGAATTCTCTGGTCATTCTATTCGGGAGTAAAAACAAGTTTTACGCGTTTAATCGGTGCTCAGTGGACACGCAATAAATTCGGTATGCTCAGCTATTCAATTGATGGATCCGATGGCAAACGCGTTAATCCTAGCATGATACACCCACTCCCCATTTCTCCTCTCTCCCCCATTTCACCTTCCTCCATTTTCCAGGAATTTTGAGATATTCAGTTATCCAATCTACCAAATAGCCGGCATTTGCATAATGAGCTATTGATTCAATACTTTTTTCAACCCATATTTCAAGTGAGACATATGTGATGATCGATTAGTCGTTCATTTCCCCTCCATTCAAAAACACTTGAATCAAATATTTTTCATTTTTTATTTTTTTTTTCCAATTAAGCCCAACGGGAGCAATATATAAATATATTTATGGTTTTTTTGGACGTTTTTTTTATTAATTTAGTTGTGTACTTTTAGGATAGATGTTCGTAATGGATTAGGCCGTTTTTTTTTTTCAGATTATTGAAGTACTTCCGTTTTTCTTTTGGTAATCCTCTTACAAATTCGTGGTTGAACGTTGGAGCTTCCGTTCAAGTCCCACTTGACCCCAGATTAGCGAATGTTTTACAATTATTTTATTACGTCAATTATAAGGGTGCAGTGCACATGATGAGAGGAAGCTCTTGAAAATTACTCTCGTGTTTCAGTAATCGTGGAAGGCCCTCAACGTCTACCGAATTCGCTGTGAAATTCTACCGCGAAATTATATAAATTCATTAAACATTGAAATATTTTACAGAATTTTAATCTAAAATATGATATTTTCATCAAGACTCTTGGCTATAATTTCTGAAATTCTGTCAATCATCTTACTTAATGAAAAATCAATAATAAAATTAAAGAAAAAATACATAATCCAAAAACTATAACTGAGATTTTTTATCGTTTTTTCGCTGCAATTATATTTTAAATATATCCAACTTATATTTCGGATATATCTTCAATTGACATATATTTCTAGATATATATTTTTTTTTCCGTGTGATTATTGGCTTCATCAATATTTCTTCAACTTCTTCAACTAATGAGAGTTCTAATGGAAATATAAATTCTCGAGTATATCTCATAGTAAGATGAGACCTCCGACTAGCTACACGAGCCCCGGGGGACTTAATCAGGAATACTCGAGATTACTTAATCCAGAATCTGACAAATGCTCGCTATGCAGGTGCCCGGCGGGCGAATGCCATTTGAAATCCTGGAATGCGATGTAACGATTTTGCAACCACTCTCTTCCCCCTATTCACCCTCTTCTCAAAGATCCCTCATAACTGCCCCAAGCCCCACCCCTTCTTTATTATTATCGGCCACTGTGTTGATTGCCACGGAGGAATGTTATTTCATATCGACTGTAACACCAAAGAATTATCATCAGTAAACACCAGACGGATCTTCATATTTATAGTCACACTCGAGATATTTTATCACATGACGTATTCAAGATCGAAATCTTCAGCATCTTTTGTGTTACTTTCAATGTGGAACAAACAGCCCACACCGTAAATACAAACATTCACTCTATGAATTTTTGTTAATCAGTATATTGATATGTCCACCTAATTTTTCTCGCGATAACCGAGGCAAATACATTTTTTTGCCGGTAACTTCAAGGAATATGAAATTGGGAATTTTTTGCGCTTGAGTAGATCACTGGTATGTGAACCCCATTATTTTTCCTTAATTCCACTCGGTGATGGTATTATTCAGTAAATAAATTCAGTTTCTCTAAAAAATTGTAAGAAGGATTTATACTGATTACCAAATTGTTTATAAAACCTCAATAAATTCATAGAAATGTTTTTTGACGTAATCCCGCATTAATGTAGCCCCCCTGCACGGAGAAAAAAAACGAAATAATATTTCCATTGAAATCGCGGGATAAATTTCAGTGTGAAAAAAGTAAAAACTGCAATATCCACTGATTTAGTATCCCGAGAGCTCAGGAGGACTGAGTACAACGCAATCCCGCGAGATTTGAATCGAATGGAGCAAAAGTTTAACCTTTTTTTTTCGTAAAAATCAGTCGTTTTGCACATGAATAAAACCAGTCACGGAAAATTAATCTTCTATTTTTCTCTCCGTGTGGACCCTATAAATATCGAACAATTGATCCGCCCTCTGTATCCTCACCCATAAATGTCTTACTGTACGTTAGAGTGGAGATTTTTTTTTGTTCTCTCGGCAGTTGGATACACAATGCGCGATATTCGGTACAAATGGCACGACGGCTCAAAATCTGTCAGCATCGCGAGTGAAGTGGAATTGCCGCAGTTTCGCGTGCTCGGTCACAGACAGCGAGAGAGAACCATAGGCCTAACCACAGGTACATATAAGCAAAAAAAAAAATAAAATAAAATGCATAAAGAGAATGCAAAAGTTGAAGGAGTTGATATTGAAAAGAGAAAGAACAAAACTGCGAGAGACATTCTCCTCTCTCTTTATGACGTCCATCCTGTGTCGACTCTCGCCTCCAAAGCCCCACAACAGAGAAAAAATAAACGGGGGAATGGAGAGCATGTGACAAAAAATAAAGACAAGTGGTACGGATAAAAAATGCCGACGAAAGAATGAGAATGAGCCGATGGAGCAAAATGAGAGATAGAGAGGGAAAGAGATGAAATTGCGGACTTCGGTCCTTCTGATTGCCTTCACCGATATGTACACGAGAATTGAACAGTGTTTTATTTTTCGCACCATTGCACCACTGAGATATCATCCACCTTCGCGGATATATAAATTTTTTTTCTACTTCTCTTGCGCACACACGCGAATTTCCGTCCGTGGAGCTTCGGAAAATAATCTCTCGACCGTAAATTCCGTCATTCCACGAAAAACCGGGAAGCTCCGCGGATCTCTCACGACGTTTTCCGGTGCTTCAGCAAATTTTTCTCCGTCTTCATTCTTTTTCCTTCTCAATTCGCTGAGAATGGAGATAATTCCCCCAACAGTTCCTCGGATTCAAGCACCGGTGCGTCTCCATTACAAATTTTGGCACTTGGCTGCACAACGGGTGACATTCCATAGAACAATATCAAAAATTCCTTTAGCATCGAGATAAAAGTCAGAACATTTCAAGTAGCAGGAGGGAAAAATGTAGGAATTAAAATGTAAGATAGAAAAAAATTTGAAAGGTAAGTCGTGGAGGCCCCCTCGGAGCCTGCGACGCGCTAATGTGCCGGGTGTGTCCAGAAAGGTATGTACCAACCGCAAAGGGGGGTCTCTCTCTATTTTCAGTCGGATACACGATGAGAGACATCCGGTACAAGTGGAACGAGGGTCCCAACAGCGTCGGTGTCAGCAACGAGGTCTCCCTGCCTCAGTTCAAGGTCCTCGGCCATCGACAGCGAGCAATGGAGATTAGTTTGACCACCGGTAATGTATGATAAATTACCAAAAAAAAAAAAAACTCCATCAGCGGATTAATTGTCCCAGTCTCATAAAAGTCTCACTCTCAATCTCTCCCTCCCCAAACCACATCCCAAATTGACGGACAACAGAGGGAACAGAGACGTCAAACTCCCCCGAACCATCAAGCGCTGCCCAGCCCCAACCCTCCGAATCACCGCCATCTCAACTTTACAATTTCCTCTATCCCACTATTTCGGTTTATACTTGACGGAATAGGTGTTACCCGGAAACATGAAATTTCCGGCCTCTGAAATTGATGAGTTTATCAGTGGATGATAGCTGGGCCAAGCCCCCGAGACAACACCGATACCCGCCACCGGCAGATACCATCGATTCTCAAATAAATAAAAAAAAAAACCTCCCTCATTACATCTTCCTCGTCACAATTCTACCCGATCACAACGTCTTTTTGCAATTATCCTCACTCTGAAAACGACGAGCAAACAGCCTGGAGCACCCTCACCCCCACTTTCAATGGATTTCTGTGAAATAGTGACAAATATCGGCAGGCAAAAGTGGTTTTCTCTCAGATATCTATACCACGATGTTGAACACAACATCCAAGTCGATGAAGCACTTGGATGAGAGACTATCCTCTCGTTATCTTATACTGCCATTCCCTCTGCACATCGTACACTGATTGAATGCATATCTATCCATCTGTATCCATATCGCTTGACCAGAATCTCAATATCACCTTGATATCCATTCCTCGCTGAATGCGTCATATTCGCATGCCTACGTCCATCTAACCTCTCAGTCGTTCTCTCCATCAGATCACTCCCTGTCCTCTTCAACCCTTCTCTCTTCCTCTCTGATACTCAATGCAAAGCCCATGTACATTGGGGCAATAGGGTCGAGCCGTTTGCTGGCAATGCAGGCGCGTTATACACATATCCAGGTGATATCCGCTGAACGCCCCGGAGTCCTTTCACCACTGGGTATCGAAGGGTATTCATGAATGAGGTGAGGGCACCGATGCATTCGATGCTGGTCACGACACGCCGACTGTTATGTATGAAAGAACATTCGATCCTCCGAATGGTGAATCTCATCCACCGCCTCCGCAGGCGTGTATGACTCAATAACTCATCCTATATTTGAAATGGAAATGTTCGTGATATGCGTGGGAGAGCACGCGACTCCATTTTGTGTTTCTCTTCGGATGGGTAATGATTAAAGCCTGGCAAAGGAGCTTCAAGAGTTTCTCTCACTTCCATATTTTCAAATAAAATTCTTGCAGTTATAATGTTATAAATAATTGCATATTCTCGAAACACCTACAATTTTCTATGTTGTGTGATTTTTAAACAAAAAAATTTGATATCTTCATCTCCGATTCTGGACGCTTTTGCACCTCTTCTGAAACAAATTCAAGCAAAAAATTGAGCGAAAGTAGTTTTTGGCCAACTGACATCATGTGCAATACCTCACGTAGAAAATGTTTATTTGTTTGCATCAATCTAATGAAAAAATCATTAATCGCAAAAAATCATGCAAAAAGATGAGAAGCAATAGATCGTCAATAATACATCCTGTTAAAGTAACTATAACTTAATCATTGGAATCATCGCGAATTACAGTTCAATTACCTTTAATTGATTAATTGATTGATAATTTTAATTAATTGAGTAAAAAACACTGGTCCACCATTTTTCCAAATTGCTAGAGCAAAAGCTAAAATTAAAAATCCAAATGCCAGTCTTGTACACTCAGACATTTTCCCCGTTCCTAAATGGCTTCCCGCCCGGACCGAGATAATCATCCCCAGCCACCACTCCAAGAACTCATTACCCCCTCATTTTTCTCTTTTAATTTTACCTCTCTTGTCTCCTCTACCCTAATCATAATTGTAAAAGTTTCCTTCAGAAGCAGTGAAATAATTCCCCTCCCCTTCAATTAATGGTAATCCTTGTAATTCTCGAATGGCTGTCAACGACACGGGATCATATTGACCGGGACCCTCTCCCGGGTAAGTAGGAATATGTCGAGCGGATATGCGGAGTATTAAACCCGAAGAAGAGGATTCACCATGTAACGAGTAGAGAGAGGACAGCAATGGGAAAGAGGGCTTGATGCTACTGGACTTCTACTTAGTTTGATGAAGCCTTTAATTACGACTCGGATCACACCGACTGACCCGCAGAAGCCTCCGGAAGTTGAATTACCCGCCTCAATCTCTCCTGAAACCTCTTTCCCTACCTCTCGATGCTCGACTCATTGCCACTGAGTCCAGGGTACACACAACCCGTCCGATTCATTTCTCCATTCAACTAGTTAAACACGGAAAATAAATGTCTTTAGCTCAAATTATAATGATATTCAATTTTTCAGTAGAAAATAGTCATTGACCAAGGATCGATTAATGGAAGTTTAAAACAAATAAATAACTAATTGCTCTTTTAATATGAGGGGATTTTATAATTACAACAGGCTGTAGTGCGCGTTCGCCCTGATATAACAAAATACGGCAACACTCAAGTTCATAAATGTCGTTTTTAACGGCTGTGTACACAGACCTTGGTCCCGGGTCGGCCAGTAAATATCATCTTCGTTAAAAATGACATTTACTGACCACTAACCTGATAAGGTAATATAACTTTTTTTGGGTTCATTTGCCGGTCAAGGGCTGTGTCATCACGCGGCTCTCCTCGGTTTATAACCTATCGGTAGTTCTCCTGGTGCAATCAAAGCCTCGGTAATTAAAAGAGGGAGGAAAGGGTGGGATGAGGGACTAGGCAATGTTGACGGCAATCGAGCGTACACATAACCCGCACGAGCGCCTCTTTGAAAAGCCTCTCCTGGTGTATTTCACTACTTCAACCACCACCACCACATCTTCGCCCACTCGTTCCCATCCCCACCGGATCCCTCTGGGAAAAACATTTTCTCGTTGAGTTAAGGGAGATTTTTTTACTCTCTTTACCGCAAACAGAAATATATTCGTTCCTCAGGGGGAGTTATTAATTGATTGTGAGGTGGATTTTTTACTCTTTCACGCGATGCAACTTCCGGTGGGATAAATCCGCGTGATTACCTGTCGGATTATTTCTGATTTCATGTTTATGTTCCAATGAATTTTCAGTGTTCAATTATGACTTTCAAGTTAAATACTTTGTGAAAGTTCACATTTATCTTGAAGGGGTGAATGATAATTTTTAATTTTTTGAATTTGATTTATTTTGCGTTTTGGAAAAAAATTATCAGAATTTCATTGAATGTTGAAAATCACCCGATGAGTTGGAGAAAGGGAAAATAAAATACCCCGGAGCATATTTATATTTATATAAATTATTTCATCGGTGTATAAATTATTGGCAGTATTTATATTTATTATTTACGTTATTTACTATTTGAATAACGGAGATTCACGTAAATTTAAAAATTATATAAATTCAAAAATGTTATATAAAGTTCAAATTAATCTTCCGACAGAAAAATTTTAGCCAGAGGCGTAATACATTTGACGGTCCTAGTACAATAAATTCCAGTCTACACTGTTTTGGCATATTGAAACTCCATAAATAGCTTCATAGCAATTTTAGTATTAGTGGGAAAATTCTGATAGAGTTTGTCTAAATTCAAATAGTTTCACGTCAAAATAACGCAGAAACTTTACTGTTTCCCTGAATTTTCAATTAAGCTTAAATCTCCAGTACCCAGAGAAAAGAACTTTCACGATGATAAAAAAGAAGTTCCTAGATTCCGGAGAACTATTTCTTTGGGGATTGAAGACAGTGATTTTCATTTCCTCCTAAATAAAAATTCCCCTGACTAAGCATAAAATGTGATACCACCAGGTCTTGCCGTTCGATATTGGATTTGCTCAGTTCATTTCTGGGGGTGAATTACCCTTCCATTTACTGTTTGCAAGTGATCTCTCGGTGCACGGTGTAAACAACCCCTGGAGCAGGATTATTCCGGCCCGTGGACAAAAAGGGAAGAATAACGTTCAATGAACGAATGGAATGCGCAATGCGTTGAGTCTGGTCATACATTTTTTTTGTCTGAAGGTTAATTGGAATTACTCGGTGCACTTTGCAGAGGCCCTGACCCCGTACCTCAATGTTTAATGATTCCGGTTGAATATGAAAGAGAGATCTCTTCGCTCACACACTCGAGCCTCATCCCCTCGTCCTCGACTCCTTCATCTTCACGATGAGTGTGGACTCTCTACATTGTCACCAGGTTTTTTTCATTGACTTGAGACCACCACCAGGCGTTGCACAATGGCATCTTGTCACCCCGTGAGGCATAGCAACCAACAACTCAGATGTCCTTCGTGCACCTTGAGAAATTATTATTATTTTTTTAATAAAGGGAATGATGAACCGTTTCATTCAGCCGACGAAAGAGAAACAGAGGGATTCATAATAAAAATGAAAGGAAAACCTCATCACAAGAATTTTCTTCTCTGTTACGTGTCAGAATTGCAGTAGTCGTCAGCAACTCTTGCATCGACGCTCAATGAGATCAGGGATACCAAAGGCTACGGGACATAAAGAGAGGAGAGCGCTGGTGCTGTTTGAAAAGGTTTTCTCCAGCAATCCGCTCTATCGACCTCGGGGGAGAAAGTAAGGACTTGGTGTGAGGGAATTTTGCGGAGTGGAAAATGCAAAAGGTGAAACGCGGACCGCACGTTTTTTTCATTTCATCGTAGAACGCAACGTAGACGATGTAACAGCAGAGAGGATTCAGATGTTTAGTCTCATTACCTCTGGGCAGAATGGAAATGAGTGGAAAAGGATGGAAATAATGAGGTGACAAGAGTTGAGAGATGAATTGTAATGGACGATAATTCGAGGATGAAAATTGAGGGAGAATTATTCACCCCGAATGGGGGATTATCGAAAATACCGAGGAAAACTGAAGGAGAATGGATGGCGGTTGAGGCGGTCGTCTCCAGTCCAATCCATCGGCCACTATCTTCCCTCTCAACTCACTTCCAACGAAAAGACGGGAGCTGGTAAAAAAATGGATGACGAAGAGTAGAGAGTACTGTACTGAAATCGAGATCAGAATGTGCGGGACTTCAACGGCCTTCAGGGACTAGCCCGCATGCTGTGCTATACGCAGTCGGAAAATTGATCGATGCAATTTTTCTTTGAGTTGTAAAAAAAAATCTGGTGTAAAGGCGACGAAGAAGAGAGCGACGAAACCGGACTGGATGAGATGGATGACAAGGGGATGGTTATGAGGGAAATCCAGTCAGGGAGAATGGACAAAAGAAAATGAGGGCATGGAACAAGACAGAAAGGATGTACGCGAGAAACGTAACTACTCTGTGCTTATGCGCGTTATAAAGATATTGCAGAAAAGTGCTTATCAAGAAAACACATCAACATTTTTCTGAAGAAAAGGCCACAAAAAATAAGAAAGGTAGAGCAATATTTTTATGAAGAAAACTCCGGAAAAGTTAAGAAAAAAGTTGGCGTCGGATTTTCTCTCCTTGCACAATTAATAAATGTAGGATTGGGGATTTTTCAAGTTGGAAGCACCCAGGGGAGAAGTGGGTGGCGCGAACCCCTGAATCACGCGAATCCCAGCCAAAATGAGAGTAATACCGAGAGTTTCAGCAAATATTGAATAATTTCATTATCCACCCCATCCCATCATCACATCTCGTAATGTAAAAAATGTAGATTGAAGAAGGTCAGAGAGTACCAGAATAACCTAAAACAAATGAAAGTATACTAGTATAAGCGGGCAGTGAGGAAAAATAGAGGAGAAATTGTGACTTGAACTCGGTGCAGAGGTAGGTCAAGCGCGCCTCCTTCCGAATTAACAAGGACAAGACTATGGACTGTCAACTGCTGTGAGAGTAGGAAAAACGAGGAAAACTTCAACTCATGAGACACTGGGTTCAACAGAGACAGCACACAATACACAAAACACGAGGAAAAAGCTCTCCCGCGAATATGCAACTTCATTCTCTTTGACGTTACCCAGACACATTTCTCTGCTTTTCTTTATTTGCATTTACTCGAAAAAAAAACCCTCCAGTCGTACGAGGGGTTGAAAAAATATTCAAGCCTTCGCTGTGAAATCATTTTTGAGAGTAATGACGTCAGAGAAAAGCTGGTGAAGTGAGAACAGCGGGGAGAGGGAGAAATTTGAAAAGGGAAAAAATTACATCTGCCAAGAATCGAAATAGCAGACCAGGAGCTCTGCGAAACGCAAAATGGAGAAAAAAAACCACAACAGGCCAACAAAAGGTATTTACGGGCGAGAGTGCACCGAGGAATATGGTTATATCCCAGTCCTGAAACTCGGTTTAAAAAAAAAAGAAAATAAAAAATATTGAAAAGACTGAGAGGTAGGGTCCGCGAGTGAAAGAGAGAAAATCGCCAGGCGATTCGTAAAAGCCAAGTTTTACGCGGGTAAACAGGCTTTACGACTTTGCCAGCCAAGTTATTTCACGTTAAACTCGACTGGATCAGTTTCGGTGTAGGTCTCTGGAGGGTATATAACCCAAGACAGTGGAGAAAGATACGGTGAATACACCGGGTGAGAGTCAGCGGGCAATAGCCACCTCGGTATAGAGCCCAACCAGGTTATTACCGGGTTGCAGCCGATCTCCCTGAGTATACGATGCACCAAATCCCTTTCCACCGAGCTCCAAGTGCTTTTACCCTACCCACCCACCGGTGCAAAGTGTGCAAGTTTCGTGTTTTAAGACCCTGTAGAGCTCCACCGAGCTCCACCGAGCTCCACCGAGCTACCGGATGAAGGTGAGGGTGAGGGTTTGTTCGGTTATTGTGTTTGCCATACAGGGAAAAGGACGTATCTCGGCTAGGTTGGGTCGTAAAGCCGCGAGGTAGATGGCTCGTATAAGACCTCTTTCCTCCTTTCCCCTTCCCCCATCGCCCATCACCCTCTCCCAATCCCCCTTCAATCCCCCTTCAATCCACTTCATTCCCCTCAATAATTGCACGTTTTAATGGATTAAAAATAAAAATTAAAGCTTGTTTTTTCAGCTGGGAATTATGAGCCGTCTCAGCCACGAGTTTCCGCCTCTCGCATCGAGAGAGAAAAAAAAAATGAAAATGAAAGAAAATGAAAATAATAACGATGTTGATGAGAAATGAAAAATGATGTAAAAATAGGTGTTGCTTTGGATGACAATGATACTCACGGTATGCAATATGTTTTGCTTTCTTTTGAATTGCAGGAAATTATTCTCGGCTAGCGTGTGAAATCCAGTTTGTGAGATCGATGGGATACTACCTGATCCAAATCTACATACCCTCGGGATTAATCGTGATAATCTCATGGGTGAGCTTTTGGCTAAACCGAAACGCAACCCCCGCTCGGGTAGCCCTCGGAGTAACCACTGTGCTCACCATGACAACCCTCATGTCCTCGACAAACGCGGCCCTCCCCAAAATCTCCTACGTCAAGTCAATCGACGTCTACCTGGGCACGTGTTTCGTCATGGTCTTCGCCTCACTCCTTGGTAAGTAATAACTGGGCCCACAGTTCAAAAACATGAATCACCCGGCCCAAAATAAAAAGCCATTTTTTTAATACCTCAAACAACAAACCATTGTTCAATACTTACACGCTGACACTGTGATTATTCGACACACTTTTCTCTACAATCAAGAGAAAAGAAATTCAATTGTTGATAAGCACTTTTACTATCATCCACTCACACAGATGGGTGTGACAGCTGTCTGTCGGGTGCCATGGCTTTAATTTAATATCAATTATTTCCACAAATGCTAATGTGTCAATTGAATGATGCGTCAGTCGTGGCGGGAGTTGCCTGATTATGAGGACTTTTACAATTCGATCCTCGCGAGTACTGGAACAATCGATCGATCCTAAACACTGCATACTGTTGCCACCAATTTTCTGTTTTTTTTTTCTTTTTCGATTATTTTATTTTTCCAAACATTATCGTTGATTTAGGCACCATCGTAATGACAACCGTGCGTATGAGACTAACACGGTGGGCACATTTATTTAGCTCAATTAACCCAACATATGTTGTTCACGTATTTTTGATATTTTCAAGGGTATATTAAAATTATTCAATTTTTACGTAATTCTTGAGGATAATGCATTTCGTATCAACGACAGTGTGCAGCGATTTCGATTGATCGAGCGGGCTGACTAGCGAGTGACGCACGATTTGCTCGTTCGACTCAAAATTTACATTGATAAATAAGTGAATAATGAGACATTATCGTTGATGCTTGTATGGATTCTTATAATCGTTATAAATTTTGACCATTTTTTTAATTCGGCCTGACATGAGGAGCGATCGTGTCGTGAGCCGTGGAACAATCGATCGATCCCAAACAGTGCACACTGTTGTAAATAATCACCAAGTTAATGGATTATATAAATTATAACAAATGATTTATCATTCGTCTGATTCTCAGCGAGAGTTTGATGTTTTTCATTAGAGAATTAACGCAGTGTGCAATGATTTCGATAGATCGTGCGCTCCTTCGTCCCACGGAATACTCCAATGCTGAAAATTATTAAGACAATTGACTCGAATACAAGAAGAGTCACGGGAGTCTAGTCCTCCGGGCAATTCCTCGCGTTCCCCGACTCACAGGATTCTCCTTAAGAGATTTAAATTCTATCTCGGTTCTCTACCTCAGCCAATCCTCAACCATCTCGACTACTTCCATCTACCTCAGCCCGTGTTCCTCTTGTTCGTACGTGATTTCATACTGTCGGGATGAGGTGATTGGATTTTTTTTATCACCTTTTTTTTCCTCCTCAAATCGACTCATCATTCAACTTTTATTCCGACGAAAAAATCCATTGTATTTCGTTGTACTTACAGAAACCATTATCACATTTGAAGGCCTTACTTTGTCATTATAATTAACGAATCGATGGGGGAAAATAATCAGATTTATGAAATTCGTACAAGAGGAAGCTAATAGATTATTATGACGTGACAATAATAAGGGAATTGAAAAAATTACCATCATTTTGGAAAGAGTAATTACTAGAATTTTACGGGAGTCAGATAAAAAAAATCGAGCCGTTTGTCTACATGAAATCGAATATATGCGTTCAATATATATTTACCTTGTTTGGGCATATACGTCACATATTTGCATATATATTTGTCATATATTTGCAATTTATTTTCTTGAAATACTGAAAAATACGTGTCCCATAAACGCAAAATATTTCATAATACGGAAAATATGAATGTGAAAAACATTCTGTGAAATCCAAAAGTGTATAATATATTTCACATATATTTCACACATCGCTTTTTTGCCGCTTATTGTAGATGCCATATGGTTGACATATATGTGAAATATATCCTCTCACGGGATAAACATGAAGGATAAATATGTATAGGGGAGTGCAGGGTAATAAGGACATGTTTCCATTCAACTTGGTATAAGATGGGCGTAAGACTGTTGAAAATCGTATAATCATTATCAAAATCAATCTCAGATTGCTGACGTCGACAAAAATATTTTTTCCATTACCTACCGACGTAATGAATTATGGAATGAAAACAAAATTTGTTGGAGCCCAGACAATTGAAATAGAAACTCCATTTCAAGTCCATTCGATGAATATTATTATTATTAACAATTTTTAAAAATTAAATAATTTTATTTTTAAAAATTAAATAATTTTATTTTTAAAAATTAAATAATTTTATTTTTAAAAATTAAATAATTTTAATATTAATAATTAATTATTTAATAATAATTTTTAAAAAATTAAATAATTTTATTTTTAAAAATTAAATAATTTTATTTTTAAAAATTAAATAATTTTATTTTTAAAAATTAAATAATTTTATTTTTTAAAAATTCCACGTGACAGTCTATTAATCCACTAATTACTAGATAATTAATTTATCAATTTGTTTAATGGGTGTCCGATTTATACCAAACTCACCTATATGATTTTTCTTACGGGCTATTTTGTGCAGGTAGGAACCTCTGACTAATGCTTGTTCGGCTTTAATGTAACGGCGCACCTCACCTTATCCATGTCGTGGCCCTTTCAAGGCTGATAACACCGGGCGAGTGAAACGAGAGCCGATCGGTTGCATTTACGGGGTTGTAAAGAACTTTCAAAAGAAAATTGTGGGGTGGGAATGGTGGCCAATGGGGGTAATGGGGATTGTGGGGGGGAATGGGGGAATGGGGATGTACTGTTTGGGTGGGGGTACGGAGAGTGGGGTAGTTTTCGCCTGTGGCGGGGGAACAACCCGGCGACCCCGTACCCGTGGCTCATATCCATTCCGTCCGTCGGGGATAGGAGATGTTCATGAGATACTCCGGGCACTCGATGTTAGAAGGTAATGAAACGGTTATTGCTATGCGGGGGGGGGGACAGTTTACCAGATAACACTTTCCCGGAATTAATACTCGAATCCAGAATTGTCAGTCGCTGTTTTTGTTCCTTTAATAAATTACAATTATCTTCAATATTTTTTTTGAGAATCTGTGGAAGGCAAGATCAATGGAATTTAATAGTCAACTCAGCAATATTTTTGGATCATTATTGATAAACATGCCTTGAAATTGAAATATTAAAATACTTTGAATTCTGTCAGATAACGAAATAATAGAGTATATTTATTGATTTTTTGATGATTTCCATTGAATACCTCGTATCCGAAGACTTCTGAAATATAAAAAAATTTTTCTATTAAATTTCGCGGATTTCAACGGAATTCCGACAAACCTGTCAGCAGACTAGTCGAACAATTAATTCTCTACTTCGTACCCTAAATAGCGTAAACCACGTGAACTCGATAGACTGAGCCACCAAAGGGAATATTACCCACTCCATACGATCAAATCACTCCAATCACTGAACTCCACACCGACCTGAAATAAAAACAAAAAAAAAACTGTAGCACTAATTCGCAATTCGATCTTCCGCCCCATGGAATAGCAGAAAGAGAGTTGCACGTTGTGACTCAACATCGACCCCAATCATTGTGGTGTAAAAAAAATATACATATTTCCCCATTAAATCCAGCAAAACCGTGAAAAAAAAAAGACCCAATCTCGCTCGACGGAAAATTGCGGTATAAAACCAGACGAACGCGATATCCGTGGGTCAGCCCCAAAAAGATAAATCACAAATTTGTTCCCATTCACTCGAAAATATAATTCCGGGGACAATTTTACCCGAAGCTGAAGGTGTGGCCAAAAATAAAGCCAAAAGAGACGATTTAAAGAGAAAAAACCTATCGAAATGAAAGTGGGGGAGGAGTTGAAGGACAAACCCTTTGATACATCACAGACGAAATACTCCGATGACCCGGTCACGAGGGACGGTAAAAGACGCGCCGACAGGGTGATAAAAAAAAATGTCCATATTTTTACACAGGTTCGTACGTTGCCAACATGCAGCCAGTGTTGTCACTCGACGATTTCACGGTATGACGAACGCCTGAAATAACCCCTTTCTCTGAGAAAAACTAGTCTCCCGCAACCCTCCGCCCTTGTCCTCTCATTCCTGCCACCTAACCCTGGCAGATCCATTTATATACCCCACAAACCCCCACCACCAACGGCGTCGTATCATTGTGACGTAATTCCCCGATATATGCATGATTTCCTAAGCTATATCCCACCTAAAATTGACGAACCGATATTTCCCCACTAATTATAATTATAACACCCCTCTCCATCAATTCCATTTTATCATCCCAGTCGGAAAATCGTAGTTACGTCGATATATTATCAACCCCTGAGGGAAATATTCCGCTTGATTAGAATTTTCGGACGTGAAAATGACGTCGAGCAATGATGAGCTTTCTAGTTGTTATGCTTTCATTACGTTATGCGATAAGCCGCAACTGCTTCTTGTTAGTATATGAATAAAATGATCAATAACGTAGAGCCCGAGTAACAAATGTAGACAAAGTAAACATAAAATAACAGATACAGTACTGATACGTAGTGTCCATTATAACATTGAGTATTTGATAATGAAAATAGAAAGGCCGTTGACGGATTTAGGTGATAACTTGGTGGCGAGTTTGCACAGGTACTTGATATATGTTTTCCATTAATTTTCGCTGTCTCCGTGGAAGGAATGTGTCTTATATCCAGTGGATTGAAGTGGTGGTCCAACCGCGTCGAGTAAACTTCTGCTCAGAGATTTTTCCCTCACCCGGCCTTCTAGCTCTCATTCTTCCTCCATCTCTCTCTATCTATCTCTTACCCTAGAGTTTTCGACGAAAATTACATTGCTAACCAGCCAACCTTCACGGGTGTTATCTAACCGAGAGTGTGACAAGACACGAGAAAAGCCGGTGTGGTTGAAGGTAAGGGACATATTAGTTAGTCGAAATCAGAGAGACAAACGAGATTAGGTGTTTCTGTCTGCTACCATGTTTAGTGGCAAGGGCTGATCGAATTGGTGGCTACACACATGTCAGCTATGGTAAAATTATCTCCACCCCAGTGGATTTTGGTGATGTGTTGCGGAGATTCCTCGCCCTACCCGGAGTCTTATTGGAAATAGTTCGGGGACGCTATCTTCGGTGGCGCTGAGAACGCGCGAGAAACTCCAGATGTCGCTGAATAATAACGACTTCCGGATTATTTCAGGAGCAGAACAATCGCCGGAACGAGGGGATCCAACGATGCCAGCGGCTATTAGGTGGATTTTTTGGTGAGGGGAAGAGAGGCCAGTCGAGGGCAATTTCACTAGTGAAGTTCCACCTATCGAACTTCCGGAATTGTGCACGAAAACTATTATGTACCAATGCTACCAGCTAAAGTTTCACTGGCTCTTACACAGCCTCAGTCATCGGCTACCCTTTCCTCTGATTTATTGAATACTCTGGTTTTGATTTAGTGAGATTGTTGTGGTTTGGTTAATCGTTTTGAGGCCTTGGGATTTATTTTTATCGATCATTAAATACGGTGTTTAGCAACTTTTATTGATTCACAGAGTACGCCACCGTCGGTTACATAGCTAAGAGGATTTCCATGAGGAGAAGCAGACTCCAGAAGATAGCTGAGAGTGTCGAACATGCGAGGAAAAATCCTGTACCGGGAGTGCCTGGAGATCACGGGGACCATGCACCAAAACAAACTGTGAGTACTGCAAACCAAAATCAGCGAGAGATTGGTAGTCCAGCCAAATTGCTTGTTTGCTATTGTCCGCGTGTTGGGGGATTACAGGGCCCACCCAATATGGTGATTCATTGTCTATTTACATCCGAAGAAATTCCCCTTTCTTCAGGAATCTGCAAGAAATTGTCAGAATTTTTTAATCATCAGTTGCTGCATTATTTCAATTTTCGACAATTAACTGAAAATAAATCTTTATATAAAATGACACTTTCGTTTCTCGTTTAAGCTCTGATCTCTAACAAATTTTTTTAGCACTAATGGAATTGTCAGGAAGATATTTGTTTCGGTGCGTATAACACCCGTTACGAGCCTCTCTCCAATTCTATTTTATTTATATCCCGAATGGAGAGGCGTCCAACTCCATCAACTGAATTAAAAACTTTTTTTTCGCAATAATATCTCACGAACGAGAATTTATATAGTCGTAAAGCCTTCCAAACTCACTCAGACCGCACATTAAGTGACAAATAAAAGAAAAAAATCGAAATAGGAAAACGAGGAAAAGACTCGGAGTTGTTATACCGCGAGGGCCTTCCGGTTTCACTCCCCTGTTTTTTTTTGCTCTACAAATAAAAAAAAAAACTAAATCAAGCTTAAGAAGGAGGGGCACTTAGTACGACTGCGGGTAATTTATGAGTACAAAACATTTGCCGGAAGGCGGATAGACTGGAGTACGGGGTGAAACGGTGGTTTCGCCTATTTTCCCCCTGAGAAATTGGTTAATTAACTTTAAATAATTGGCTCTATCAATTTGCTTTCCTCGTTTTCCTCGGTGTCTGCATATGGGCCACCGCGATGAGGATGAAAGGAGAGAGGAGAAGAAAAGCCGGGGAACGCGGGCTCGTCGCCCAATCGGCCTGACCCAAATAGCATTTACTTAAGAAAGCTAAACTTTGTCTTCGCATTTTTCGACCTATCCCCCCCCCCCCATTTTCACCCACCAATTACTCCCTTGAGGGATAAGATTCATGAGTGAAATTACGGAACCCCAAGTGATGGCTCTAGGGCTCGCCAAATTGTTAGGCCCTCCACGACAATAAATCTGCACACATGAAAGAATTCCGTTACAATCGCACCTCTTCTCAATTTATTTTTTAGCCCATCTTTCGGTTGCCCTGCTCTACTATCTCTGGACTCCAAGATGTAAACGATTCACTGTATCGTTCGGTCAGTAATTGAATCCGGGAAAAATCATGCCGAAAAATAAATTCCTCTCGGACTGTGACCGAGGTAATTGTCTGCCAATTTTTAATAATTAATTTAATGAAGAATTTACGGTTGCATACAGTCGGATTCTCCGAATTCACTTTACCTACAGCTTATTTTATTTTATTTACTCACTTTATTTTATTGAATAAGGGATGGAAATTTGGGGCCTCATCTTGCCTCTCTTTCTCTGACTCCAATATTCGAGGGAAGATGCACCAAATTAATTCTTCCATTGTTTTATTTGCATTAAGATCGGAAGAACTGCAATCAATCCGGATTCATCGCTCTTTAAAATCAAAAGTAACTCACGGAAAGTGTAATTTCCCGGAATCCCATTGAATTTCAAAAAGTCTTCAACTCAAATATCCTGAGCATTAATTTAAAACACTCGGAATACTCCTGGACCACTCCCAAACATAAATAGTCAAAAGTTGGGGGCGTGAGCAGTTAAAAAGGTGTTCTACATAAAATGAATTGGCGATTCGGAAGTTGAACGAATGAAAGCGTCTCTGCCACTATAAATTTTCTTTTAATCTCGTGGATTGTACAGTGATGGGGGTGACTGGGGCTTGAATGTACAGAGGTGAAAACGAAAATATTAAAAGCGTTGGGTAGGAATATAGGGGGTGATGTCTCGGGTTTGCCAGTGTCCGAAGCACGGCGGCAGAATAAAAAAAAAAAAAACCAACTGGAGAAAAAAACCACGACGAGAGGAAAATATAAAACAGACGAGTCCAGAGGAATTTTGTGCAGCTAGATGAGAAACGTTGCTTTAATTAGAGAAGAACGAATTAATTATTCAGCGAGAGAAGTCTCTCCGGCTGAGATTAAATTGCGTCGATGAAGGGACAGCATTGTTTCTTAATTTTATCATCCTATTTTCATCTTTTTGCACAGCGCACCTCCATTTCTTTCAAAACTCTTGAAAAAAAATGCAATTCAATTCTCGAAAAATTTCCTGTTGCCATTGTAACCTATTATTTCAGTCTGTAGAAAAAAAATTGTCTGAGAAACTCGAGTGAATATATTTAACTGCGAGAAAATTCTAAAATTACTGTTGGAATATCTGTCCACAGGATTCAGGTGGCCTTGATTATTTTTTTTCTGGGTCAAGTTGTACCTGCGCAGAAAATATAAATCAAGTGTAATTTATTGGTAGAACCAAGAATTTTCACCCCTATCCCCAGTGAATAAATAGAATGGAGCCCAAATATTTAATCGATTCGAAAAGGTTTCGGGGATATCACCAGTGCTGAAATTCTCCGGCGTTCATTTAAATGAGTAATTAAACTGAGTCACCATTTTGGTCGTCCATTTGGCTTGCCAGACAATGAAATATAAAAGGATGTAAAAAATAAATGAGAAATTTGAGCTGGATAATCTCTCTGTGTTGCATGCAATACTGAAAATATATTGACGGGTTGTGACCGTAATGGGAACTCCCTGTGGCGAACTACCGTGTCTCTTGTAAGTGGTCCCGTGTTGTCCAGGAGGTGCGGTTCAAGGTCAACGACCCCAAGGCCCACAGCAAGGGTGGAACACTGGAGAACACAATAAATGGCAGAGCCGACGAGGAAGCACCACCAGTGCCACAGCATTTTATACATCCTGGCAAAGACATAACAAAGCTCTATGGCGAACCATGTACGTTTCCATATCTTTATGTATCTATTATCATTGCGTGGACCAGACGTGGACCAGACACTTGAAATGAAAAAACTAAATCACCAGAGTTTTCTTTAAGTTTCACACGCGATGCCATTTTTTTTTACTTTGTACACGACAAAACTAGACAAACTGCTTCTAGAATCAAGTGACCGACAATTGACTAGACACAAAATCAATGTTAAAGATTTAAACGATTATTTTATTTCTCAATTTAGCAATATTTTATTGTTCACTCATTACGTTCTCTAATTGAAAATGGGCGATCGCTAGTTTATTGTCCCGAGGAACGTCTGGTACTGAGAGAAAAACTGAGTTACTTAAAAAATAAAGTAGCTTTAAACTATTAAATGAAATTAATGATGAATAAATTTGTTTGGAAGAACAGATTGAAATTTTGAAGTTCAATGGTAACTTCAATTGTCTTAAATCGAATTTAATAAATACAAGGATTTTCGACGGCAAACAAATGGATTTTCTACATTTAACAAAATTTTTGTCTCAGTGTACATGGTCCACCGGACAGAGAGGCACCTCAATTTATCTGAAATACTTTTTTCATGATTTAACTTTCGCGTTAGGTATAACACCCTCGGATATTGACAAGTACTCTCGCATCGTATTTCCCGTGTGCTTCGTGTGCTTCAACCTAATGTACTGGATCATCTATCTTCACATCAGCGACGTTGTCGCGGACGATCTAGTTCTGCTGGAGGAGGCAAAGTAGATGAATTCACGTGGACCGGAGAAAAAACGTAGGAAAAATAATGAAAATCTTCGCCGTAGATGGAAAAATGAATTTTTTAGAGAGACAACCATTCGGCGGAAAATCTAAAACTTAAAACCGTGCTGTGACTAATCCTTCGACTTTCAGGCACTGTGCGGCACACTCGTCGCGTCGTCCAATTTTCTGTCTCACTGGCAGAAATGCAAAATGTTCTATACTAAAAATCAGAAAAATTATTGCGCCGAGTTTAACCGAGGGAGCCTACATCGTCGAACGTTCCAGAAAAATTAAGCAGTAAGATTAGCAAAAAAAAAATGATATAAACCATGAAAAGGAAAAAAAAAATATATTAAAAAATTTAACAGTAAGGTATAAATAAATATAAATCAATGACCATGGATCGGTGAATTAAATGAAATAACCGATTTTCAAATGGTCCACATTAACGCTCAATGACTCTTCCTCGATCGAGGGAACGCAAAACGATCAGCGGAAATCGACGTCTCGATGTGCATTACACTCCCCGCATCAGCAACAGAAGCAGGCATTCCTGTAAATGCGGGATGCGTTTAAATCTTTGGATTAAAACGAGTGAATTTAAACCCAGGGAAAAAGGTCGATTAAAATGGAGGCACGAGGATGATAGGGGAGAGGTCGAATTTCCGGGATCGTGAAAGCGCAACGAAGACTGAAGGATGTCGAGCCGAGAGATAAAACGAAGCACCGATGAAAATATATATATATATAAAATATATATATTATATATTAACCTAGGAAATTGATGATAAAGTGAATGAGAAAATCGAAGGTATTAAATTCTTGGAGAAGTGGAATAAAAAAATGTTACAGTTGATAAAGAACGGGGCGAATGTGAGGTCTCGTTTCATTCCATTAAAGAATATTAATGTAGTGTGCAGTGCCGAGAAAGCCTCGAGAGACGATTATTATATATTATACATGAGAAAAATTATAAATATTATATATACATATACCTTAAAGCATTGCCAGTATATCTCTAGTAACGGTCGCAGATTAAAGAGCAAAACATTGATTAATTACATACAGCAGAAATAAGGAAAAATTGAAAAAAAATAACTTCGGTATAAACACGTCAATTTAGCCATACTGAATAGTTTGACATAAGCTACGACTAATAGGCATTAAAAAACGGGGCTCAACAGAACGGTAGGTTAACAATTGAGATTGAGGATGAATTGTTCTGTAAAAAATTGGGGAGACAAGGGGGAAATCGATGGACTCGATCTTTCATAGAGAAATAAAAAAAAAAACTAATGGTCGTTCAAGTAGATGAGGAAGTTGAAGAGAGTTGAGTGGGACTGCAGCGAAGTGCTTCATGTTTCGGGTGGAAAGGACATGATTTTTTTTATGAAGTCGTTCATGGGAGAAAATTAATGTTAACAGTAAATTGAATAGGAGGGAATTTATTCAATCTGAAAAATCATTGTGGAGTGGCGCAACCAGAGGTCTTCACGATCCTCTTCATGATCACCACCATTTGTTATGAATCGTGATTGATTGATGCTCAATGATTTTTATCCATTGGATGTTTCATGTCTGAATGAAGCTCAAATACGAGCGCCCCCGACCTGGAATATTACCCGAGTCCGTGTCAATCTTCCAGCCTCAGGCATTTATTCATTAAAATTTTTCTTACAGCCTCACGCACACTCATAAACCTCTATCCACAATTTTTCCACGTGCATGAGTCGATGGATTTGCTCTCCCACGAGAAAATGATCATCGATACACTCGATATGCACGGACGAAGTGTGAAATATTTTCCAGGCCGGGAGCCACGGAAAATGTATAAAGATCGAATGCCACGGGAGGGCCATATCCAGAGACTAGAGTATGAATTTATCACCATCTTATTCTATACGCAGTATATCCCGTTTGAGAGTGAGAAGAAAATACTCGCGGAGTGAATCGTAAACTCAAAGGGAAATACAGTCGCTGGGATTGAAGATGTTGAGAAAGAGAACAAAACAAAGAACCATTCAATTCGATGCAACAACTTCTGTTCGCATTTCTTTCTACTGCAATTTCATTCGGCTTTGTCGTTTGAAAAATTCCTTCTTTCTTACTCTATCATCATAAACTAATCCTCACTCTCTATTGCCATTTCCAAGCGGAATTTAAAGAGCAAAATTAACAAGTGAAAATTCCACAATTGCAGTTCACTTTGGCTATGCAAAAAAAAAAAATAAAAAAGCCCATTACACCTGTCTCTCCCATTACCAACTAATTAACAGTATTTATCCAGCAACTTTCCTCCTATCTTACCTTTAGTACACGATTTTTTTTTTCTTTTTTCATCCCCTATTCTTTTTGTCTCTACCCCCTCGACCCCCTCGACGTCAACGCGTATGAGCTTAATTTCTCTGGTGATCCTCACCCTCATTTTTCTTCCTCTCATCCCTCTCTTATTTTTCTTGGCAGTATGAGTAAGAGTGGGTGGATGCCGGGATGTGGAAACTTGCCATTCAGGATATCGACCAGACACGCCCAGTCATCTCTGTCCTACCTTCTCTCAGTCCTCTCTTCGTAAGTCTATTCTCTACTTCTCTATCTTTTCCTCTCCTCCGTGTGTAACAACTTGCACCACTATTCTCCGATGGTCTGACAGCCCAGACTGTTGGTGGAAAAGGGACGGATGTAAAGGGCCGGGATGTTCAATAAAAGAAAACAAAGATGGAACAGAAAAAGTTGAAGATAAAACAAGAAGAAATGAGAGTGAATCTTTCCTCATCCTCAACCTACGACATTTCCATCTAAATAGCTTCAGCTACAGTTACGATTAATTCCACATCTTCTATCCCTATCATCAGTCGTTATCCTCTCTTTCAGTCCCTATTTAATTGAGCTCCATCAACACTTGGAGAACATTTTTATTTCATCGAATATCCCCTCGTTTTCCACGAAGCCCTTCAATGCGAACATGAAATTCCGTTCACATGATCAAAACGAAAAAATTCATCCTTAAAAATTGGCGGAATGAGAGTCCGAGGATTTTCTCTGGAAACGAATCAGTGAATATTCCAATTCTCAACTACCACTCGAATGTTACCGAAAAGCTCGCAAAGGGAATTCACTTTTCTAGCTGGAAAAAAAAAATAGAAATCATAAACAAGAAATGTCGTGAAAGACGGAATGAAATTGCTCTCAATCGAAGTGAGCGCAACGTTCATTTTATATATTCCCCTCGCGTGTCGTCGGCTTCCTCAAGACTTGATGTGAAACAATTTATTTCAATTTGAACCCGTGTTGCTACGATTTACAGGGAACATTTTTCTTCAGTTCATTTGTTCTCCATTTGATTCTTTTCCATCCGTTCAAATTTTAAAAAATACAACTGATTGATATTTTCGTATGTCTCATCATGAAATCGGCGGGTTGCTAGATAGTGAGTGTAATAAATGAAAATATTGAATCAAGAATAAATGAAAATATTGAATCAAGACTCTTTGCAAAATAAAGGCGATCATAAAAAATTATTTCATTAACAAAAAACCTAATTTCATCCAAAAGACCACAAAAATTTCGACAAAAAATTCGCGTTGAATATATTATATATATTATATATATTATATATATTGAATATATTGAATATATATTATCGCTCACTCCCGTAATCAATCAATCACTTCAATAAAGCCTCAACCACAAAATGATCAATGAAAAATTCACCACTGGTTCCTTTCCGCGAACGACTCGAGATAGATGAAACAATAGCTGGTAATATCAACGTTATCCAACTGGGACTTTCTCCCATAATAATAATAAAGTGATAAACAAAAATAAGAGGAGTAATGCGAGTGGAAAAAAAAACCTAGTGTTTATCGTTGTGATGTATTCAATAGTGTACATTTATGTTTCCACATTGGAGCAATTATTTTCCCATGCCAAATACGACGATCAAGCGATTAACACAAAGAGTATTGTGCGTTAACATAATAATGTTTAAATGAGATATTTTTTGAACAAAAAAAATAATAATGACACGAGCACTCTCCGCCAGTATTATTTAACAATCCTCAAGCATTAAAATTCTATCGTCATTGTTTTATAATTAATATACGCATATTGATGTTGATGTATTTAATTTTATCAGTGAGATTGAGCTGAACATAAATGAAAGTATATTGAACAAAAATAGATATATATATGAAGTGAAATGGGTGAAATTGAAGGTGCGAATTAGCGAGAGTGGCTCGTGTACATAACTTTTGTATATTTGTTATATATCACGGTTTATATAGACGGCAACGGGAGAATTTTACCAACGAAAAATTAACCGACAGGAAATAATCATCAATCATCAGCTCTAGCGATATGTGTAACTCGAGCCTGGAAAAATGATTTTCGATAGTATTTTAAGGCGATAGACTTGTCGGAAAATCAATTCAGGGGACTTGAGGTTAACGTTGGGAGAAATTGTTTGAGGAGTGTTTGTTGTCGGTAAGACAATGGGAATTGTCTCGTTGCCCCTGACAGTTTATATAGACGACTGATCGTCGCATCTGGCCGAATGACGAGTGAATCTCTGTCCTCTGGTAGGATTTATGTTGATTGCGTATTACTGCAAAATAAATTTGAATGATTAAACTAATGATAAACAATTATCGTTAAGATCACGTAAGAGTAATAATCGTAAGTGAATAAATTGATAATTAAACTGCTGGAGGAATCCCTGAAGTCGCTCGAAGTAATAAGTACCCACTATACATTGAAACAAAAAATATATATGAGAAAGCCCAAAGGAAGAAGTGAGAGTTAGGGAAATTTAAGAGAACAGTTGAGAAAACCATCACACCTTGTAAATATAAGTTTTATACAGAGTATTATATGCATTGAAAAGTACTGTGAAACTAATATTAATAAAACCAAGATAAAAAAATTCTGCAAATATGTAGTGCACACGGCACGTGATTGTTCGCACATTATTTAGATAAAATTATTATACTCTGAAATATGGGAAAGCTATTGGGAAGACATACATATGTGTAAAGAGACTAATAATCTAGTGGATGATTTAAAATGATAAACACGTTAGAAAGTGGGCACTAGTGGCCGTGGTATTGAGGGCTAAAAAAATCACTGATACGTTCGTTTGGTTGTGAATGTGTTTATGCAAAAGCTAAAATCAATTTTGGGGAACGGGTGTGCCGAGGTGATCTGGACATCCGTTTTAAATCCATGGATTCAATATTGCGCAAAGAAATTCATAGGTCCTCTATTTTATTTTGTTATTAAATCGTTCGATTACTCTTATCACTTATCTTTGCGCAAGATAGTATCGGTGAAACGGTATCTAGAGTCGATCCAATGAATTTCCAGAAGATCCAGGACTAAGTGTATTTCAAAGAAACGATACCAGTTCAAATCACGTTAACGAAAACTGCCAACTTCATATTATTACACGTTTTAGTCAATCAGAAGGGCGGAAGGAGGCGGATGATTAACGAGGCGACAACCCAAAATTCGTCTTAGGATAAACACATTTGCCGTTTGCACTTAGTGTAATTTGACATTATTCTAGAGAAGTACACGATACGATCACACTAATTCCAGTTAACTTCATTTTCACTATCCTTTTACCAAATTTGTTTTAATGATGATTGATTTTGATATGATTAAGTTGACTGTTTCGCGGGATTATCCGAGAGTTAACGAAGTGAAATTGAAAGAATAATGATATCTGCGTGACAAAGGAGAGGAAAATAGTGAATAGGTCAAATAGAAATTAAATAATTTTCTTTCCAATGCACATTTCATGGTAAAACTGACAAATTCTCACTGAAAAAAAGGCAAATAAACTAATAATTACTTTCTGAGAGGGTTCGATAATGCGACGAGTGAGCAGAATTAACGATAAAATCAATAATCCCATGAAAATTAGATTTAACACTTAAGTGTAAAGACAAGTAACGGGGAGGTTAAAACATTAATAATGAAGTTTTAAAAAAAATCGATGCAGCGTAACTCGTTAATGAGCGCCATATAAAATTAATTTAAGTGCCGTAAAACTACGTTGTACTCAGATTAAAAACCTCCTATGACAGTATAATCTACTCGATAGAAGACAAAGCTGTGAATTTAAAAAAAAAATGTCAACCTTCGTTTATCGTTATTTTCTATGTATTGTTTCAATTATTGTAAATAATATAAGTAAGATATTTTTATTTTTGCATTTTGCAATCACGACTCATCTAATTAGCACTGAATCAATTATTCTAACTCGAATTTTTCCTCGTGGAGACCTTCCTTTCGTCATTTTGCTAGTCATAATTATTCTCCCCAAAAAGGAAAAAAAATTAAATTCATGCACCCTTTTTAATTATAAATAAATAATTGACTACTGATGAAGAACTAGTTGAGACAATTATAGGTGAATAAACGGAGGAAATGAGAGAGTATGGTGTAGACTACGTTGATAATGAAGAATAAAGAAAATTACAAGTACAGTTAAATCTTCACACACTCGATTATTACTTAACGATTATTTACCACGAGAGGCAAATGCTAACGATTAATTAATCAATTGAAATGACGAGACGAGAACAAAATGATACGAGAAGCAACAAACGATCAGTGTTGGAGGAGATACGAATGTGATGAGTTGTTTTGAGAGTACCAAATTCTAAAAAATGTATTTAATATTAACTGCATATTGTAGCGTAACCTTATACTACGGTAAATACATTTAAATAAAAATGGAAAATGATTAAAAAAAATTGAATTAAAGTAACATCCCCTCCCGTAGGTCGGGCACTATCTTGAAACAATTATTAGGTACCACTTGTAATGTACATTAACAATGACGAAGATAAATATATGTATGGATGATACAGCAAGTCGGCGTTATTTGTACGAAGACGCGCGTTTACCGAAAATGAACAAAGAAATTAAATATATGAAATATAAAGAACAAAAACGTAAATATATAGTTTTTAGTATGAAGGAGTAAAGTGAAAAACACAACAAAAAAAAATTATTAGTCCTGGGCGAATGTTCGAGATACCGCGGAAACGAAAAGAACGATTAACGATGATGAGAGAAAATTACCAAAAATGAAAAAAAAAAAACAAAATATTACAATTATTGTAAGAATGTTGCGTGTATATTACATGTATGAATCTGGGGTCCGTAATTTTATGGAAGTTCCTCATCCTCAAGGAAAAACTGATCGAGATTTTGTAGATTTATGTACGAGAGTTTCTTCGGATCTGCTCGGCCCCTTTTTTATTCAACGGAGGGAGAAACAAATGGAATGCATTTTTCAATCGACAGAAAAAAAAAGGCAAGATTTGGGAATTAGTGTAACTCGAGTGGATGTCTTAATTGCCAGGTCATTCCCTCTACATTTTCCATAACCACTTTTGGTGTATTTTTGATGTTCCTCGGTGTTACGGTGATTCCGGGAAAGATTTTTCGAATTGCCATTCCGGTGGAGATTAAAGGGCGACAGATCCTGGCAGATTCCTGTAAACATACGCTATAAAGTCGTTTTTGTAATATCCGAAATAAAATGCATAGTCGAAGATTTAATACAGCCCTCTGGGCCGTAGAATCTTTATTGAATATCTCCACCCTGTATTTTGTTATTGTTACACACGGAATTATCTTAAAAACCTAGGAGTGCAGGGCTGTTTAGAATTACGATTCCATTCCAGATGTAGTTGGCAGTTGGATATGACTTGTGGGGCAATCATGAAATGTAAAAAAATCTAAAAAATTCTCAATTTTATTGGACTTTCTTGTTGGACTTTTTTTATTGTAGAAAAAGTAATACTTTTTTAGTTTTTCATACATTATTGTTCTATAGAGAGATATCCGAGCTTGAATAATGCTGAGAATCTTTTTGAGAATTCAAAATTTTTTTGCCATAAAAAAAATCGCAAAGTAGTTCCTGTTTTATCGTTGGTAAACGGACAAATTGTCAGGACGATTTTACAGGTGACGCCACCATCTTCGCTTCTATGAAAAACTTTACCTTACTCGAGATAAAAATCGATTTTTCCAGATCATTCAGATGTGTGTCTGACTAATTAAAAAAAATATAATTAAAAGTGAAAATGATTTAGAAAATGATTTTTTTAAATGCACAATGCCAATTTTTTAAATGACCTTCTTCATCTCTAAATGAACAACTTTTTATTATTATTATTTTATTATTGACAGTGAAAAATGACATTGCACCTTCCAGAAACACCTGCATCATCTGAAAATTGTGCATGAAGGCGTAAGTACTCGCCAAAAATATGTATCCCATGATCCAGGTGACAGGATTACGAATATAATTTTATTTAATTCTAGACAGAATTTTCCTATTTTTACCCATTACGTTATAAATATTGTTGACACGCACCGCAATCTGCGCACAGTAATCCCGAGAAAATCGATGACCTACCGAAATTTTCAGGGTTGTTGGAATGTTCCAGATGTTCGTTCATCCAACTAAAAATCAATGCAGCAGATGATGCCAATGACCTTTCACCCCAAATTTCACCTATTTTCGAAAAATATTGTTCATCCATTTATCGATATTCTATTGAAGCTTTCTGAATTCTCCAAATTGCCGAGCTCACCAGATTTTTATTTTTTTTTTAGTTCTCCACTGAAAATGAGTCCTTAGAAAAGGCTGAGCGAATAATAAATTAATAATCAACATTTTACGCTACGATGACGACAAACTACGTGCCTTCTCGGATTGTAAAAATGGCAGACCACAAAAATACTCGATTAAGAGTTGTTTGATTGGATAAATCTGTCGAAATGCCGGAAGACGTGGCGATGGTTGACCCGGGGAGGTGGAGATTTTTCAAATTCATGACTTCTTTCTGGGTGAGAAATGGTACCACCCAAAACTTGTAGAAATATGCTAGGATTTTCTAAATGAAAATATTTTAAAATGTTATTACAATACCGACTGAACCTTGGCTAGCCATGGGCCAAGATAGTCATTCAAGATTGGTCCAAGGCTGGTTGAGCCCCGAAATGATAACGCGGGGTCATTCTTCATCACCAAGACTAGGCCTAGCTCGATTCCGAATCGTTATCCGTTATTAATATTTATTGATTCAAATTTCCAAAAAAAATAAATCGAAAATACTTTCATGCAAATTACCATGTTTTTCAGGTTTTGACTATAAATTTGTAAAGGATGGAGAGGTTGAAATTATTACAATTTTGGTAACCATTTAAGAGGATAACTAACAGTGCATTAATTAAATATTGCGTCTTTAGCATATTGGGAAATATCTCAATCAATGGATTCTGCGGAAGTACCTCTATTATTCACTAAATGATAGCCCCAGCTTGGACCGGTTACGAAGTTGGACGATTTCTACCTGCGGTGTTATTCTTTTTCGACTCTGGTATGAATATAATGAATTTATTTCAACGTCCGTAGGTGACCAAGAAAAAATCATAGAAACCTCTCGCAGTATCTTCTTAGCATTTTTTTACTTTCAATAATCATCATCCCGGAAGAGGCCTCAAGGTCGATATTCGTGAATAATTACCGGCTTCGATCTTAATGGAAAAAAAACCGTCAAGAGCTCTGAACATTATACATTCTGGTGCGAATATTAGAACGAAAAGATTGATTCATTCCGACCGTTATCGCATCCTCGAGAGATGGAAGAGAAAGATATTTGCTGGGAGGATGATTCCCCCGAGATTGTTCGAGAAGTCTGGAGAAATGTAAGACATTGAATCAACAATATGAAGGTCAAAACGATTAAATGATTATCATTTCGTAAAACACTGATTGTCGGATTATCCTAGAGCTCCGATCGCTCGATTATTATCGGATTTGCAGTTCAAGAGGGTGTAATTAGTTCGTTCATAGCTAAAATTTTTTTCTATTATCAATCTCTTTGTAGAAAGTTGATGGGGTCATAATCGTATCAAGTTGGAAAGTGATTAAAATCTTTCCCTCCCATTGAGACGAAAAATTAAAATGCAATGACCTCCATCGGCTAAAGTCCCTCACGATTTTCCGAAGGCGAATCATCAAGTGTTTACTGTTTACGCAACATTTCACCTCTCATTTGGAGATTTCAAGTGTCGATGATAATGATTTTGCGATAATTGATTTTGATAAGAATTAGCCACTCGAATCGAGAAATAACATCGTGATACATTTTTTTTATGTGAATTTTCTGTAAAATTCGGGAAATAAAATTGGGAACTCCTCATTTCGATCGACATTAGGTACCTTATCGTTATCTAGCTGATCAGCACTAGGTGACTCGTTCAATCAACACTAGATTGTGGAGGTGAATCATGCGAAAGTGGTGTGACACTATAATCAAAAAATATAATTCATCATTTTTTCTGACAACTCAAATTTTGAGACCAGTATCACAAAAATATGGTGAATGATTTTGGGAATCTAGAATTTTAAATAACTAATTCTCCAGAAGAAGTTAAACACCTTTCGCCTCTAGTTACATATCTCTCTGCATCTCTAAAAATAAAAATACTCACACCTGTATACCTATAAAACTCGGAACATCTAATTGTTGAAGGCAATTTTTCACTGCGGTTACATCATATGGTATATTCCGTTTTTAAAGAACAGTGTGATAATTCGCTGTCCATTTATCATCCGTTCAAACAATGATGAAATTATGATAACGAATTCACTACAGAAGTGGAAAAAAACAGGAATAGAATATTTCCACTCGATGCTTCATGTGTTACACAACATTTGGGAAAATTATAGTATAATTTTTTTTATGTATCAGTGGCGAATTTCAATATCCCCTATATTTACTCTTCCTATTAATTACCATAATCGATTCATCGACTTTTGGTACTCACATCAGCTGCTGGGAATTCCCAGAAACTTCTCAGGAAACGAATCGACGAATCCCCGAGGCTTCAGGCTTGGTTAAATATTAGCGCAATTCAATAACAACTCGAGGAGTTCCCCACATTTGTCTCTGTATACCAATTTCACGGATTCGCCGACTATAATCTCGACCAACGGATACGGACACCTCACGTTTCTGATTGGTCATCACTCGTCGACAACGATGCGGCTCCTACTATTTAATAACGTTCGTCCACCAAGCAGATCATCATTCCAATCTGATCTTCAGAAACTTGAGTAGTAAAGCAGAAATTTATCAATTTCAAAATGATGTACAAACTCATCATCTTCGCAGTTGCCATCACGGGTGAGTCAAGAATATGATATAACAATCATTATTATAGAAATTAAATAATTTTTTAATCTATCAATATTTTCGAATTTCATTCTCATAGTTTAATTATTAGTATTCCAATTATGTTTTTATTAGCTTCGGTTGACACGTATTGAAAAAAATAATACAACAGTTGAACATTAATAAGTAAAAGATATTCTCCAAATGGTTATTATTATATTGATACCATATGATTGAAGAGTGCATCTTTCGATCTTCACACGCATTCTATCTACATTTCCAGCCATTGCTGCTGCAAATCATGATCCGAGTACAACGAAGTGTGAACCTAAAAAAATATTTTCATACTACTGCAACCAGTGCGTGTGCAATGCAGATGGTGAAGGAGCAGCTTGTACAAGACAAGCTTGTCCTCCTGGCCTCTTCAACGAGGACGGATCAATGAGAGTTCCACCTGCACCACGTGAGAAGAGAGAGATTTCAGAATGTATGTATCCCCATATTTGCAATTTATTTCAAGACAATCCAGTGGTCCATAAAACTGTTAATTAATCAAATAATTTAATTAACAGTGCCTGCCGACGGAAGTTGCGTGGTTGGACGCCAATACACAAGTGCATGCAACACTTGCAGATGCATCCGGGATAATGTGCCAATCTGTACTTTGAAAGCTTGTCCACCTGAATTGAGATAAGCTGAAGAAATAAAACTTGTTAACGTAAGTATATTTTCTTGGCTGATAACACGAAGAAACGCAAGTCATTCGCCTATTTCTCGATTTAATATTGTTGCAATTACTTATTATAAATTCATTGTAGACGTATGCTTTATAATAATTTTTTTTACACAGAAATCATCAAGGCCGTGACATGGTACACGGGGCTGGATAAAACCCATAGAACGGAGTAGTCTATTTATTAAAAAATGGACAAATACGATCTTAGCGATAAGGCAGATACCATGTGTCATTACTCTTTTTACTGATATAGGATTCTACTCATAATCTGATCTGGACGAGCATTCATGCGATATTTTAAATGGTGTATATGGGATTATCTAGTTATGTATATTGTCAAAGGATAATAAAATTCACAGATTTTTTTTAAATAAATCATTCTTTGTTTTATATATCTTGCCTGTTGAAATATTCAATCAACTTCTTAACTCGGTGCGCTCTCCAATTATTCATCGAATTGAATTCAATTGATCGAGAAATTGCCAATCCTGCCAAAGGCAGTCCTTTTCACGAGGACGATCACAATTAGTGCAGTCCAATTAAATCAGGGAAGTCCCTTATAGTATCACTTAAAAATTTTTTTTTTTAATTGGTGTCTGCATCCTCCTACTCTGCGGTGAAAAAGAGAAGCTTGATCTCAAACGGTGCCCTGTCGGTAGCTGCGGGAATCGCTAGAATCCAGGGCGCCAAAACATCGAGATTTGGAAGTGCCACTAAAATTTTTTTCATTTTTTTCCCCGTTGATAATTCCATGGGGTAATTCCGCATGCTATACTGACGGTGAATGGGGTTGCCCTTACCCCATCCCACCCCCTCACCCACATTTCACCATTTCCCAGGGGAAGGTCTTCTCCAAGGCGTTGACATCTTACAATACATCGCCGCTTCGAGATTTAATCGAAAATCATAGAAAAAAGTAATTAATAAAGGGAGATTAATTAATAAAGCCTCGGTTAGTTGATAGAACGACTTTGTCGCCCGGATAAAAAAATCACGAATCACAATCCGTATCCTGCTACTCCCAATCAAATCCCGATTTCTTATTTATCTTATTTATATTTTATTTATCGGAAATTATATATTTTTATAAGTTTAATCATCCGATATTCTGCAATCGAAATATTTCACTATAATCTAACAATTTTTTTTCAACGTAGTAAGATACCTTATTTTCAAAATATTAATTAATAAATATTTAAATGAGCAGTATAACAAAGTTGTTCCTTTTTCAATAACAATCATTAACTTGTCATTGATTTTCCATTTTTATCTATCATTCAGAAATTTCTATATTTCTCATGACAGCCGATAATAAGTTCAGTCCAACAAATAACATCAATTATTATTTTTTTATATTACACTATTAAATCATCTTCAGTATGTTGTAAAAGTGTAGGTAAAAAATCATGCTTTTTAAAGAACAATACAGGTATAACACAAAAAACCATATCAAAGGGCAATTCTGATGAGTGTGACTGAATGCGTATATAATCAGCACGTAAGAATTTCTCGAATCCTCTACAACTTTTCGCTAATGTCACGTAAAAATGCGAAAAGTGTAAATTTATTATGACAAAATGTAAACAAGCAGTGAATAAACACTAATTGCAGCTGTGGCAGTTACAATGATTCAGCAAATCTTTACTTTAATAAATTCAATTAACGTAAATAAATGTAACACTATGCGTACGATGGACCTCATACGTGACAATATGCTCAAAAAATTAACGTATTATCTTATCAGAAAATGGAGTGGGTATACACCAAATTCCATCTGGTATAAAAAATTTCGACTGAAAATTCAGTCAATTGAGTTTTTTTTTCTCTACTTATTGAGATTAATTTTGGAAATACACCATTAGAGAAACCGTTGCTGCATTGATGAATTCTAAAATCAATTTTGATGTTATAAGATCTCTCATTTTTCTGTCCCAATTTTTAGATCAGCCCCGAATGTTTTTCTTATTCACGCAATTAACAAAAAAGCAGTGCTGCCGAAAAAAATGAAATTTGAACAATCAAATTCTTAGAGTCTCTTCATAAATTGTAAATAAAAAAAATTAAATTAAAGAAAAATAGAATGAATGAAAATGAATTGAAAATAAATTTAATCGACAGAAATATTAATAATATAATAAATAGAACAAATTTCTTAGTGTTTTGAACGTTGATTCCCCTCATCCTCTCCCTCATCCAAGTGTAATTGAAAAATTTACTATGCCGTGAAAAATATGTGAAACGTTCTGTAAATCTCATTGTTCGATGAATAACCATGAATTCCTAAAAATCCTTTGTTCACTCGACATGTGGCAAATTTGATTGGACGTTTCAAATATTCTCACGTCCGGTCGTATGGATTATCTCCGCGAATTTTTTAGATAGTCTCACCTCCCTAGGTGTCCGAATATCCGACTCCTAATTGGTCACCATTTACTGACGACGAGGGGTTGCAAGTATATAATCCACACTTTTCGGCAAATAAATCATCAATCAATTCTCAACTTCAGTACCTCCAATACTTGAGCAGAGAAACCAAACTGTTGTAGTAAAAATGATTTTCAAACTCATTATCGTCGCTATTGCCATCATCGGTAAGTCCACTATAAAAAATATTGCATTACAACAATTATTGTGATAACAAAGAATACTCAAATTGTTTTGACTCATTATTTGTCATTTTAAATCATTTCTCCAGAGAATATGCAAAAAATACAGATAAATTATTTATCATTTGCTCCAAGTTGATATTTTAGACTGTCACTAGCATCTATAATTATCACTAATATGTAGTGATAATTATCCCTATGAATTGATTGGATATTCTTCGCCCATCTATAGTCAGAATCCTCTTTTTTTAATTTGTTTGGCAAATGATTGATGCAATTGATGTAAAAAAATATGATGTTGTTACGTTTTGTCATTATTTAATGGCAAATAACAATTGCCTTTTTTCAACGAAAGTTTGAAAATTGAGAATAATCGAAATATTAAGAAAACAAAATAATTCATCACGAAAAATTGTTAAAAATTTCCAATATAATTTCCCAACACTGAAGTGTCGGTAATCGCTTATTTAGATGATTGTCCTTGTTTCCAGGCATTGCAGAATCGAGACTGTGTATTTGCGACGGACTTAATTTTCGAGGCGGGAAATGCAGTTCTGATCCCTTCTGTTTATTCGGCGACGATAAATACCCAACGAGTTCATCTACACTGAAACAATTGTTTCGGCTACTCGGACTTCAAGATCCATCCCATTCATTAACGCCCAGTACGTACCACTCAATTAACAATCAACAGGAATCTGAAGCCTTAGGTTCCAAGATAGCTAATTATTTAAGTGAACGTAATTAAAATATCGACTTATTACCATTTCTTTTTATTTAGGCTTGCGCGCCAAATATATTCAATTGCTGAAATATCTAAACCCGGCATCAGGATTTTCAAGTATATATTTACCATTTAATTTCTATTCTTCTCGATCAATTGCATTTTGCCCATTACACTGAGTAAATTGCTATGCCACATGAAATCATAATGAATACACATAAACTAACGCTAATTTATTTCAAAGGTCTAAATCCGTACAGCAGTAATATGTATAATGCAGTACTCACAAGGTTGTTTCCAGACGGTTATTCGTGGGTGGATGGTATGTACCAACTGTTCATTTGTCAGCTGTTATTTGTATTACATAACAATCATTCAAGTAACTCCAATTAATTTTTTCTTTCAGTGGACCATTTGGGCGTGATAACGCCATTGCCATTTGATCTTGACATGTGTACGTAATATTTATTTGTTATTCACTAATTATTCATTATATATACTTAAATTCATTATTTTCAATATTTTCAATGGGAGTTCATCGCGAATGAATCAAGTGTATTATTCTAATATTGGCAATCGAATTGAATAGAATTCAACCACTTGACGAGATAAATTCAGCATTTTATTTTTTTATAGTGCCCGCTGATGGTAGTTGCAGTCCTGGTCGTCGTTACAGAAAGGGATCGGAGATTTGCCTGTGTAATGACGGGAGCACGCCGTTCTGCTTCTAAATTTTCACTCAATAACATGAAAAAATGATTGAATTAAAAAACATTGTAAACATTTTATGTATTCGAATTAAAAACTTTGGCAAATGTATTGCCCATGTATTTAAATAATCGTGTACAGAATTAATTCCGTGTGAGACTTTCCCTTTTCAAAACCAAATTCTCATAAAAAAACTGCCAAAATAAATATTCTACAAGATCTCTCTTTTTTCAACAATCATCCACATCTCTGTATTGTGCAGGAGTAATTTATAAATTTTTTTCTACTCTAATGAGAAAAAAAGATAATATAAAAGCATCAGCATTGAAGTGCTTCCAATATTGAATCAGATACGATCCAAAAAATCATTGAAAGAAATAAAATAAATATAACAGTGAAGCCATAAACATCTCACAATGACTTCGATAATTCCTGATGAATTCAGGGCGATGTCACGTACGACCTAAGATATTAATATTAATTCCGCTCGTCAACACGTCTTCAATGCCAATTGAAGACTACGTGGGCGATGAGTAAATAAACAGTGGCTGTTGTTGCACTGGTGACCACGACTGGAAAGTCGACCCTAATCAAACGAAATAAAATACCAAGAATTAACATGTTTGAATTCCCAACTCCCTCAGCAAAATGTGGAAAATTCCAAAATTTCCATGAATCTTCGTCATGAATATGAGAATTCAATTTCGTTTATGTCTGAATTTTCCTTACTTCCATAAATTTTTATAAAATTATGCAAAATGGCAATGCATGTAAAAATATAAATATAAAAATAGAACTGTATGCAAAAATTTATATAAACCGATTATCCCGATATTTCAGCGATAATGTAAAAAATTTGGGGCAGTTACATCGATTTCCCTTTCAACCCTCAAGAAAAAAATTCCACGATATCTTATATATTATTGCATTTCCGCAGGAATATGCGTGCATATAACATATATATTTCGTATATATTCCATTTTCCGTACGGAAATATTGATTTCCACCCTTAAAATCGCTAGAATAAAGTTACCTACCCCCGAAACAATTGGCAAGGGCAAATTGAGTTCATCATTCTGGGATAAACCTGTTGCAATCCTCACCATCATCGTAGCTAGTGAAACATTGTCCACAAATGCACTTGCGAATGCTGACACCCAGAGAATCAACAGAATTGCACAGCCAGTCTGGATTCCTCAGATACCGACATAATGACTCACTCGGTCTGTTTTCCGATTCATTTAATGAGTCCCATGCGCGTTACTGCCTACGAATATCACAATTATCCATAAACATTAAGTAGACTATCAATAAAATAGATTTCCTCCAAACAATTCATTCTGCGAGATAAATTCTGTAAGATTTTCGATTTTTCCGCAAAACACCTTCAGCTATTTACGAGAGGATAGGGAATGGGATATTGTAATTGATAATTCGACCAGTTTGTTTTTTTGGCAAGTTAATTAGCTCCATGAGAATGAAGAGTGGAGCAAAGAAGATCAAGGTGCTCCACTCAACCCTAGCCAATATCTCATTCAAATCGTTAGCATCCTGATCTGTCACTTGTTCGAACCAAATTAAAAGATGATAGCGAGACGGATTGTCTCTACGTATACCGCGACGTGCCGGGAGGAGTGAACCCTGGACAGTCATCACTACGTGATTGCTTATCGGTTCTTTCGAGATAAAAATACTGCAAAGTGAATTGTTATGCACTGATATTCGATGCATTTCCGATGATTTCTCCCATCTCATTTCTCATTGATCCTCAATGTCAAAGCGAAGATGATCCAACAACACGTGAGCAGAACCAATTTTCTATAACGATAAAGTGGAGATTGTCGACGTGTAGGTGATGCTGCGTCAATATCGAAAACTTTTTCATTTATTTCGTCAGGGCGGGTGCAACTGCTTTAGATGATGAAGATTAAGTGTCGGCAGTTCTGTTAATACCGTGATCCCTCATAGGAACATTGAGAAATGCATTTTTTTCACTTAATTAACGAACTCTATCGTATTCTCTCTGAATGGATGCTAAACTAGGATGTAAACGAATTTATTCTGGTAGTGTACTCCAGATGCGTAATAGTAATCGAGCAATTGAGTTTTAGTACGATTCAGTGGTAACAATAAGTACTTTCTTTACATTCCCCCTCGTACCTACACTATCCAAGTAGAATTTATGTATCGATAGTTGAATAACAGAAGATCGTAAGAACCAAAAAATTTTATGGAAATAAAAATACAGGTGCAATATCTTATTCCACATCTGTGGTCGCTCCGCAAACAACGGAAATATGCATATCGTTATAAGTTACGTAGTTTATCTACGTGTTATCTTGTATTTTTGGCAGAAATATATCTTAGATATATGCAGGATATACACCGAAACGGTGGATTATATATATGTGATTACATATAATCAGTATATATCTGATATATTGCCTTTCGCTAATCACTACCAACTTGCAATTCACTCTAGAGCAGGTAATAAATAAATTTTTTACTACTAGTGTTTAAACTAGTGTTTCGTAAAAACGATCAGACAATCTATTCTACAACGACGACACAAAAATGTATAATTGAAGTCGGAAACAATTGTGATAAATTTATACATATAATTTCTCAAGAGCATAAAATCAATATCGAGTGTTATCGATATTATTGGAGTGATGTCTCCGTATTCATAAAGTGGGCCATTTCGATGCTAACGTCCGCAAATATTTCCTTCCTACGATTGAAGAAATCTTTGACAAAACATTGGGTTCTTTATTTTTTTAATTACTGATGATTGATTAAGAAGCCCAACCTACCCTCTCTCAGAATACATATCCTTCATTGAATTATCTGTTTCATACCAATTCAACTACCCGGAAAAGTTTATGAAAACATTTGTTTATCCCAACATCAGGGTGATGTGATAACAATTCAGGGAATTCTCCACGTGCATCCGTACCTGCCAATCATCCAGATGATCTTAAATCACGAACTTTTAACACGTCGAGTTTTTGATTGGTCACCTTCCGCTGATAGCATCGAAACTGCAGCTATTTAACCGAGAATTTTCGATGAATAAATCATCATTCGATCGTAAATGGTGATCGAATCATAATTATAGTCGGATAATTTATTCAATAAGTGTCAGGATGCTGAACAATTTTATTGTTCTTGCCTTTCTCATCACGGGTAGGTCATTTTGAATCATTCATATTTAGAAGCGTAGGAATAATACTGAAAAATCAGCATTCAATTACTTATACGCAAGTGAAAAGTAGTAAAAGGAGAACTACACGATCGAGGTAAATTCTATTTTTATTATATCTATATTTTATAATGTGTGCAGGCATTGCGGCCCAGTGGGTTGATGTAGAAGGGCCATGTGAACCTAAAAAATCCTTCAAACGCGCCTTCTATCGGTGCATATGCTTTGAAGATGGTCAACGCGGATCTTGCAACGTGAAGGGTTATCCTCCCGGTCTCTACGACGGAAATAAATTGACAATTCTGAATGGATTGAGGAAAGACTCTCCGCTAATTGAAGGTATTTATTCCCTCGTTATTGGTAAGCTTCATTCCTATTGCGAATAAGTGATTCAAACCTTGATAATATCCGCTGATGATATTAACTTGAACGCTGATATGATGAGAGTAATTTTTCCCCAGTTGAAAATCATTTCCCCGCCGAGGCAGCCTGTGAACCTAACAAAATCTTCCAACATTATTGCAACACTTGCACCTGCACTCCAAATGGTCGAGGCGCTTCTTGCACCAAATTCTACTGTCCTCCGGGTCTTTTCTCCCGAGACGGCACCATAAGATCTCAGCGAGTTCACCCTTTTCCATATTTCAAATTTCCAGGTGCGCCCGTAGCTCAACCACTTCCAGGCCTTCAGGTAGCTGGACATGTTCCAACGGTTGAAGGAGCTCAACCAGGTCCAGAATTTCGGGTAGAGCAACCAGTGCCGACCCTTCGCATACCTCAGCCCAATAACGGGTTTGAGATACCTCATGAGATAGCTCTTGGCGAGGTGCAGCCGCTTCAAAGATATCGAAATATTCAAGTCCAGCCACCAATTCAGAAACTTCAAGCACTTCATCTAGGTCAACAAGGTCTGCTAGCTCCAGGAGTACGAACTATTCAAGTACCGCAACCAGCCCAAGGATATGGACCTATTCAATGGACACAGCCGATTCAAAAAATTCGAACTGGCCCAGGAGTTCAACCATATGTTGGAACGATTGGTTTTGGGCAACCATGTGAAGGACTACCAAATATTCAAGCACAACAGCCAGTCCATAATTATGGAACCATTGGAATTCAAGAACCAATTCAGAATATTCCAACCCACCAAGTGGCTCAACCGACCCGATTACCTGATGGAATGCAAATTATTCCAGTGCCAACTTTTCACGTACCACAATTGGCCCAAAACTATCCTGCTGGTCAATTCGGCCAACCAGGTCAGTCAATGGAAGGAGTACAAGGTATTCAATTAGCTCGACCAGGTTTGTCAGCTCATGGACTACCAACTACTCAAGTTATACAACCGGGCCCGAACTATCGACCTCTTCCAGGCAGTCAATCAATTTCGAACATTCGGATTGGTCAATTTGCTCAACCAATCCACAACTATGGAGGTGTTCCAGGCCATGTACCACTTCAGAACATTCGACCTGTTCCATTGCATTACCCCGGCCGGTCACCACATGGGGCACATATTATTCGAGTAGGTGAACCACATGAAGGAACAATTCAAATACCACAACCATCTGAAGGAATACCAACTATTCAAGCAGCACAACCGGGCCCGAACTACCGACCTATTCCAGACAGTCATTCAATTCCGAATATTCCAATTGGTCAATTAGCTCAGCCAATCCCAAACTATGGAGCTATTCCACCCCATGAACTAATTCAGAACATTCGAACTGTTCCACACGCTTACCCCGGTCGGACAACACATGGAGCACACATTATTGGAATAGATCAACCACAGGAAGGAACAATTCAGATACCACACCCAGCTGAAGGCGTACCAACTATTCAAGTAACACAACCGGGCCAGAGCTATCGACGTATTCCAATCGGTCAATCATTCGCGAATAGTCCAACTGCTCAATTAGCTCAGCGAATCTTTAAATGGGGAGCTCGACTCCGTCAACCATTTCACAGCATGCGAACTGGTCAGCTGGCTCATCCCAGTGTGTCAACACAAGGAGCCCAAATTATTCGAGTAGTCCGACCACAGGAAGGAACAATCCAGATACCACAAACAGCTGAAGGATTGCCAATTCAAGTAGCACAACCAGACCAGAACTACCGACTTATTCCAGGCGGTCAATCGATTCCGAATATTCCGATTGGTCAATTCGCTCAACCAATCCACAACTATGGAGGTATTCCAACCCATGTACCACTTCAGAACATTCGACCTGTTCCATTCCCTTACCCCGGCCGGTCACCACATGGAGCACACGGTATTCGAGTAGGTGAACCACAG